TAGCATATCGAAATAAGCATCATACCCCATAAAACCTCCCCATCCCAGCATTTTGATCTCATAGACCACCAAGATCTTTTTGTTATGCAGCTGCCTCCACTCATTTTTTGTTATTCCATTAGTCGAGCGCTTTTATGTTATTCTTCGTTAATGATATGCGTCACCTTGAAAAGGAAGCCAGGCTTTGTGATCTATATGTAAGACCCTTTCCAACAATATGACCCGATACTTTCCCACTTCCGGGTCAGCAGTGTTCCGGTATCCTACGTAATACCTCTCATATTTGAATAACTGCATTCTAAGTCTTATTCAGTCTCCATATGCCTATACAAATATCTTTGCTGTGTTTGGCAATAGTTTCCACACGTACAATTAGTTGTAGAATTTTGCGACACGGAAAAAGGGCGACAGTCGTGCGACTTTCTGATATCTCCGCTTTTACTTTTACTTTTCCTTTTCCGCAATGTCGCGTGGTAGCTAAAATGTGTGTTCCGACATTACCTGAGTGTCAAACTTTTTTCTGTCAAAAATGTCTTATATCGGATAAACCTTAAAATGTCGCATACAAATTGTGTCGCCTGTCATATGTGTCGCATGGATACACATGTCGTAGATACCAGCGACATGGTTGATGCGACACGAGATACGCGACATGGTACATCCGACATGACTGATGCGACATGATTTATGCGACATGATATGCGCGACATGATAGATGCGACACGCAGCATTGAACTTGCGACAAAGGGTGCAAACGACATTTCATAGTACAATAGACACCAACAGTGACAATACCCAAATTACTTGCAAAGATCAGGAGATGACACTGATAGTGATCTCTGTGGTATATGATGCGTTTAAAAGCGTTAGTTGTACCGTTACCACCAATATAATGTATGAAAAAACACAGACATTGTACGTTGTATGTGAGTTAGAAGTACAGTAGAACGTGGGTTATCAAAAGGGAAGCAGACACAATAGAATCATACAATGGATAACTGTATATATGTCTGCTTTATCATGTGGTATTGCATGTAAACTTATACAGAAATAGATTTGGTAATTATTATGTCTACTACTAATCACAGAGCCGTTGCTACAGCGTGTGTAGTTGCTGCAACTGTTGCTATCACAGGTTCTGACAACTCAATTTGTATTATAGGTTGTGGATCTTGAAATACAGCTAATAAAGTACACCAATGGCATGTTTAATGTGTGGAATATTTGTCTTTATTTCACACTTCAGTTCTGGTATCCTATCTATTAGTCTACATGTTGGCTATGGTCAATCTATTGCCTAGATAACCATGAATTGAAGCCGTGGATAACTTGATAACACATTGATAATTAACGGGAAATGGACACCTTGAATTCATGATCTTATCCTACAAATATGACTGCCTGGTCAGTCAGATTGAGGAGCGGTACTTTTATAATGATTTAGCAACTACCAGGCTATCACCTGGACACGTCTGCCAAACATTGACTTCCTCCCCATGCTAAGCACTTCCGACCGTCGACACATAGTTCCGGTCATGCCTCAGGTCCCTTGATGATTGAGCTTTAGGAAAGCTTGCAACAAGATGACGCATTCAGGGTCGGTGAATCACAAAACTCTAGATACAATCACCGGGCATATCATATATGATCCAGCCAAGCATAACATACAGGGTTCACTGGGCATACCATAAAACGTTGGAAGAGGCATAACAAACAATGTTCCAAGAGGCATATCAAATTAGTTTCGGCCGAGCATAACAATATAAACTCACCCGAGCATAACAAAGAGGGACCACCAGGCATAACAAATAGGGACCACCAGGCATACCAAAAATATACTCACCCGAGCATATCAAATTAGCTTTACCCGAGCATATCAAATAAACATGGAGCCGGGCATAACAAACTAATTTCGGCCGAGCATTACAATATAACTTTAGCCGAGCATTACAATATAACTGCATCCGAGCATAACATAAAACCCCCGAAGAAGCATACCAAAGAATACGGTGGCATACCAAAAAATAATGTATGGGGCATACCAAAAGAAAAGCTTAGTCAGAAATGACACAAAACCAATCACCACGTGATTTCATGGGCAAACCGAAAGTGAAATCCGGTCTGTAATCAAGATAGAACGCAGAACGATTTGAACCCTCTGAAGTTGAATAGACCCCTGTCTGAAAGGGAGAGCAAATAGTACTCTCAGGGGTAAACGAAAGCTATTTCTTCTAAATAGATATTATTAATTATGCCATTCTAAAGATGAACTAAAAGACAAATAAAGAGACCACGACAATTCTATGATTCAAGTGATATATACTAAAGGCTATAATCAATTACTAAATACTAACATAAAGATACCCATAACGTCTCAATTGTACTATTATATATCATGGAAGCTTTTTACCAACGTCTTCAGCAGTTGTAGATTTGGCGACACCTTCAATGCTGTTTTCTCGAGTACTTTCAAGAGAACTATTTTCAAGTGGGCTTTTTGATTCCATTCTTTTGTCAGAGAAAGAACTTGATGTTACAGACCCATCTCCAATGTTAGCACTTGGTTTAGATTTACTCTCACCAGAGCTTGTAGTCAGTTCTTTTACTTTTTTATCGGAATCATGTTGTCGATTTGCAAAATGAATGTAAATTTTTGGTCTCTTCTTTTCTTTTTTGACTACCAGAACTTCTTGAATCAGATTTACTCGAGGTTTCTCTGTAGAAATTGGAACCTTCAGCTCCTGAGATTTTGTATCTTGAACCCTGGAGTCCTGAACCCTGGAGTCTGGAACCTTGGAGTCTTTAACTTTAGAGTCCTGAACCCTTGGAGTCTTTAACTTTAGAGTCCTGAACCTTGGAGTCCTGAACCTTGGAGTCCCTGAACCTTGGAGTCTTGAATCTTGATATCTTTAATTTTAGAGTCTTGAACCTTGATATCTTGAACCTTGGAGTCTTGAATGACAGTACTTCGTCTTCCTTCCATCGCAAACGGTTCAGCTGAAATTTCAATCTTCCTTCTTTTCGTGTCGATTTTGACATACCTATGCACAAGACGAGCATCGGAAATAGACCGCTTCTTCTTTCTGTAATTAATTGTTACAACCGTTCCACGAACCTCTACCTTTGGTTTAATATCAGCCAATTTCTTGCTTGGTAATTTGAATGTGATCTTATTGGCAGAATTTGGATCAATTGTTACCAAGCCAGAGGGTTTCGATACCAGTGCAGTAAGTTTTGCCTTAGGTTTCAATGAAAGTTTTAAAGGCTTATGAGCAGGTTCAGATTTGGTCTTCAATGAAATCGACTTTCTGCTAGCCAATTGGATTTTGAATCTTCCTTCGCGTTTAATGACTATATGACCAGCTTGACCAGTAGCTTTGGCAACAATTTTCTTTTTAATATATTCATGCACAGGTAAGCATGGAACAGGGACACTAACTATGTGAGAGTCAATTTCCTTGTATAAGATCTGGCAAATTAACAAAACTGTTCTTCTTTCATGTAACCCTATTAATGAGGTATGCAAAAATTGCCACATCAAGTTTTGCAAACCCTTACCACCGGAGAAGTCACGCCTAAGGATTTCGACAGCACCCTTGATACTAGCACGTGCAAAATCATCATGTTTGGATTGCATACCTGTGTTACTAGTAGAACCTTCATCAATGATTATTCTTGCTGCAGAACTTGAAGTGCTAGCTTCTACCTTCGTTTTAAACTCAGGATCATCCAATGTCGACATGCTACCAAACACAGCAACAGCACAAATGGATTGCATCAAGGCTCCAATTAGCTCCATTCTATATAAAGGTCGACTGAAGTTTAACAAGCAAACTTTAAGAAAATAGTCCAAGACACTTTTATTCTTCAATCCACCAATCTCGAGCAAGCCTTTAAATGCCTCTACGCGTGCTTCCATAGGATATTTATCCAAAGTCATGTGCAAAAGATCCTCAAATGATACTGTGATTGCTCCAACAAGGGCCATTCTAATTTTCTGCTTTACACATGCAATTTCCACAGAACTCTGATATGATGGCATCCAATGATCCAACTTTTGTAGTCTATCCAACTCTGTGACCACTTTTTCCACAAATCGAGCATCATTCGATTGCTGTAAATCCTTTCTCCACCCACTGACAGCACTTTCAGTCAAAGCCGACAAAATCGTACAGACATAATGACTATCATTGAATCCATTCATCGAGTTATCGTTAAATTTAACCAAGTTAAGCAATAGCTCACGAATTCTGTCTGGTACTTTACCGTCATTATCTTTGACACTGCTTAGTATTTTGGGAAACGATTTTTGCAACATAAACGATCTGAAATCGCTGAAATCATTAGAACGAGGAATAATGCTACCAGGGAAGCAGTATAAGCTCCTAAAAGCTTGAAGTAGATAGTCAGTACCAATAAAGTTATTTCCTTCGTTAGAACAACCAGCCAAAGCCTGGGCAGCAGCGATTCTAACACCGTAGAAATATCGTTCATCCATCAAAGTTCTAACCAATGTGGTGCAATAAACTATATTAGTTTTCTCCAATTCACCGAAATACCTCACAGCTTCGAGCTGAGCTTCAATATCTCGATCATAAATCAATTGTGAACCAAACATGAAATCTGGCTGCTTGATATCTATTCGCGCTATCCATTCAAGATCAACATCACCTCTTATCCATTCAAAAGGCTCACTGCTCAATGATTCTTCATCTCTTTTATTCCAGTCTTTCAAATTCCATTGTTGCATCTCAAAAGGAGTCGTCAAAACATCTCCAAACTGGTTAAATGGTATACCTGGATCAACACCTTCATCCTTTTTCTTGATCTTTCTGAATTTGGAGTTATATTGAATGTCCAATTTCGTGTTTGCCTCCTTTAAATCAACGATGTGTTCATATGGTGACCCATCAGATTCATGCACTCGGATGGTCATAGGTCCTGTAAAAACTTGTTGGACTGGTGGTGCCGATTCGTCATCCAAGTAGGAAATGGCGTCCACAACAAAATTGTCCTTATCCAACTTTCTCTTTGTATTCTCATGATGCTGAATCTGACGAATATTCATTTCAATCATACCTTTCTTTTTGTTGAATCGCTGACTAATTCTAAAAACAGGTGCTCCAGAACCAAATACCCATTGTTTAAAAAAATTGTCCAATTTGTTACGGTTCACTTTCTCACACACATAGCGAAAGTGCTCGGTTGATAATGCACCGTTTGGCAAATCTCCTGACATGGCTTGAAGAAACAACTTTGGCAAAACTCGTGATAACCCGAACGATTTGTCTGTTTTAGTCATCCTGTTATCAAGTATAAATAAAACAATCGGGGACTTCAATTGAATGAAGGACAAGTCCAGGTTAGACACTGGGTACCTGAAAAACTGATCAGCTATGGGGTGCTTTCCAAAGTCCTCCTTCACCACCTGATCCATTTGTTTTCTGATACGGTACCGAAACTCGTTCGCACCCATCAACTTTTTAATGAACGAAATGGCCATAAAGCCTGCAATACCAACAGTACACCACATATCGTTAAAAGTTTGTGGAGAAATATTGATCCCTGCCCATTGTGTAGCAATGCTACGCAACAATATATCTGTTGAGGTAATCATAGGTTCAATCATATCTGGAGGATACAATAACTTTGATGATAAAATAGAAAGACCAGCAAAATCACTGCTCATGAATGGAGAATACTTTATAAAAACCATACTGTACGAGCTGAATGGAAAAGAACCATACTCTTTCAGAAAAAAATCAAGCGTCTTGTTACAGATAATACTAGTATTCTTTGCCCATTCCACGTCCTCCGCTAGTGCGTAAACAGTGACCGCATTATGACCCGATTCATCAACGGCATTTGCTCCATCAACAACACCATTGTCATCACGTTCATCGTCATCTTCATTTGAGCTACTAGAGCTTTCAGACAATACAAAACTTTCAAAACATCCCATCGCCCATCCAACATGGTGAGCACACACTGGGTTAAAAATAGACCATGATACCACTTTCTTTGATTGATCTATAGGATGCGGTGTTTCTTTCACGTTATTGAAATCTCCTGATACCACAACTAAATCGGAATTAGAAAGATCTTCCTCATCTACTTCTCCATCGTCATCAACATCATCCTCCACCACTACCACCTCATCATCATCTTCGTTGTCGTGAAGAGAGTGGTACAGACCGGTTTTATCTTCATCTACAGCACAAGATTGTCCCGTGGCATTTGTAATTCTTCCTCTTTGTTGATTCTGTTCATACTTTAATGCCTCCTTGGTTCCAATAATTCGCGGGTTACCGATATCACGAATTGTCCTAGGGATATTAACTTCCAACGACCATGTACAACGCTCGGACAAGCTGTCAACACATGGGACCCAAGATGAAGTCGATACATTGTAGTCAGAATTCATAGTATAAGCATGCCACAGGCTCTTATCAAGATCTTCATTAGTGACAAAATTCACACCATTCTTTGGGTTTTTGCATTCATATGATATTTTGATTTGTATAGGGGTATAGTAGTAATCATTTCCAGTACTCTTCGATTTAAGATGCAGGGGGGTAGTTGTACCTGGACGACTCGTTCCACCCGGAGTCTGTATGGCATTAATGTCTGTTAGTTCTAGCTTCATATTATCGGGTAGCAAAATCTTTAATTCTTGGGTGTTTGTACTGACACTTTCCGTGGTTGTGGTTGTGTTTGTGGTAATGGTTGTGGTGATATTAGAGGCATCATGAGGATTCAGATTGCCAAAAATGTAGTCCAATTTCTGTCGAATGAGATGATGCTGGTGAACATTGAATACGTTTGAGTACAAGTCTGTGACACTGATCCTTCCCTCTTCAATACATGAATCAAAATCCTGTGGGTTGTTTATGTATAAATAGTCATCATGCACATAATTTAGACATTTGCTTCCATTTATTAGTACATCTTTAATGGCCATTTCTCGGCAATCAAATTTTATGACCTTTAGTTTACTTGATGTAGGTACAATTGAGATCTCGGTGAATCCATCTATGCTATTTGTAGACAAATCCACGTCAATATTCACTCTTTGATGCCCGACTTTGAATGACTGAGTCATTAAATTAGTATGCTTTTTGCCAACACCCAGACCGCTGATATGTTTGGAAACGGATCTTGGTGTTTGCATCAAACTTCCAACAAGGGAAGGCGTTCCAGCATTGGAAGCGAAGTCAACAACGGACGGCATGTCTTTGCAGGTGAATTCAATTTATCCAGAAGTGTCCAATATATTTCCAAAAATATTAAGATTATTAATAGACTAATTGATTAATTGAATGAATGGTAATGTGCTAGTTTGTTTGTTCTAGCAAGTGATTGTTTTTTTTTTATTTTTCGTACAACCTTAATGGATTTGTTTATAAAAAAAATGGCTTGCTCATAATGCGCAATGATTTTTTTTTTCTTTTGGATGTTTTTTTTTTTTGAATTGAATTATTTCGGTTCATACACGCACTTTTGATATTTGTATACTGGAATAGTAAGTAAAGTAATAACTATTCTAATATGTAAAGTTTTATTTATTTACAGGAGTCTATTTACAGTAGTTTGTTATTCAAAATATGTAAACCTATTCTTCTTTTGAGCCCATTGATAATCTAAGTCGTACTTTGGAGATATCATAGACAATGTTGGAAACACAATGATTTTCTGAGTCAGTTCATCCAAAAACACCGGCAATGTATCATGATCCTGGCTAGGTTGAAACTTTGCAAACAACTTCTCCTCAATCATTGGCTTATGTACCTTGTGAAAGTAAGGAACTATCCTAATTTTATAGTGCAGAAGTTTGCTTCTAATCCTAATCCAAAATCTACTGTCAAATAATTCCCATTCACTCCATTTGTTGGTAACCACCAACCGCTTCTCTAAGCTGGATGATTCTCTTTTGACTATTGGGCAACGGTAGATCTTTATAGGTATCATATCGGAATGGCTATTATTCTTTATCTCAAACACCAAATTCATAATGGTCATTTTCAACATGCCCAGTTTGTGTTTCTCTAAAAAATTTGCTATTCTTGGAATCAATTGACGCTCAAGTTTGGCATATACCCAGTGATAGTGTTTCGATGTTGAATAAGGATGTAAAATCCTGTATAAATACCTGCTCGTTACAACACAGTTAATGCCCTGTAGACAATCACGTGGCAAGGTCACTTCCAATTTACCCAATTGGGGATATTCCTTTACTAGATCATTCTTCTGGAGATATGCCGACAACTTCTGTGCTTTATTTTCAAACAATGAAGCAAAATCATGACAACTGGCATGCAGTTTAATCAATTCTGTCTTCTGAATCAAGCTATATGGATCATTTCTTGCAGTAGTTTCCGAGGCAGAAATATCACCTTGGTGATTACCACTTTTATGAGGAATAACCTCACCTATCAAATAACGTAAATAGTTTCTTCTGGTCAAACCTACATCTCCATTTGTAAGATCAGTAACATAATGAATACCGTTGGCATTGCAAGTTTCAAGAATGTCCTTCTTATCAAACTCCAAAAATGGCCTTGCTATTTGGATTTGAAGTTTATCTTGGGTCTCATTCGGAGACAAGTCTTTCGATGTTGGCACGGGCGAAACACTTCTAGTTCCAGCCAATCCAAAGATAGATGAATTACCTTGTAGTCGTTGAATAAATGTCTCTAATTGGTCGTCCCGATGATGCCCCATAAATAGCACCGGAATAGACTCTTTGAAACAAATTTGTGACATTACCCTGTATCTTTCTTCTCGGGCGACTTCTTCAAAGTTGGTCAACTTTTTGGGGTCAATGTTGTCTTTATACTCTAATGATTTGATTATATGCAACACGTCCCAATCCTTAATCCATTGGTGGACTTTTTTTGCTTCCTCGTGCGATCCAGATCGATATTTATGGTCTATTGTGATGGCATATATATCAAGGTTTTTCATTTGACGTTTCTGATTCTGCAATAACCATGTAAGAAGCATGGAATCAGGTCCACCCGACAATGCAACCGCAACTTTTGATGGCATTCCTGCTCTGAAAAGTTTGGATAGCGACTTCTTAAACAATTCCTCCGATACTATCATTACCTCAGACAAACAACCAATTTCTTCCTTTTATACACCACAGTTGGATTCATAAGATCGGCAAGTTCATTTGTGCAGAGCTACGACCTCTGCCAACTAACGCTGCTATTCAATATTTTTGTGCGTGTGGATGTGGAGAGATGACAATTGGATATCCCAATCAGTTGGTGAAGGTCGTGCGATTCACAAAATGAAAATTTTTCTCTTTTGATGAAAGAAAAGAATCAACAGAGAAATTAAAGAAAATCACTACCAAGAATGAAATGGAAAAAAAGAGAGAAAAAAAAAAATTGTAAAGTGAATTAGTCATTAACGCCAAACCAGAAAGAAAAAAAAATCTATAAAGAAACCAATAGTCATCGCCTTTGGAACACGACTTTGATTATTAGAATTTTACATTTTATTTTTTGTTTTTATTTGATTTAGAATTCTTTTTTGTTAGTTTTGTTAGATATGTCTGCCGAAAACACTAACAATAACACTAGTAATATCCCTAAAGGTGCTTTTAGTTTCCCAAAGGAAGAAGAGGATATTATTAAGCATTGGGACGATGTCGATGCTTTCCAAAGAACTTTAGAATTGACTAAAGATTTGCCACCATTTGCATTTTTTGATGGTCCTCCATTTGCTACAGGTACTCCTCATTATGGTCATATTTTGGCATCCACTGTTAAGGATATCATCCCACGTTATGCCACTATGAATGGATTCCATGTTGAAAGAAGATTTGGTTGGGATACACACGGATTACCAGTCGAACATGAGATTGACAAAAAGTTGGGTATCACTTCAAAAGAAGATGTCTATGCCATGGGTATTGATAAGTACAATGCCGAGTGTCGTTCCATTGTTATGAGATACGCCGACGAATGGCGTAGAACCATCAAGAGATTAGGTAGATGGATTGATATGGACAATGATTATAAGACCTTGTACCCTGAATTTATGGAATCTGTATGGTGGGCATTTAAGGAATTGTTCAAGAAAGATGCTGTCTACAGAGGTTTGAGAGTTATGCCTTACTCAACTGCCTGTACTACACCATTGTCTAACTTTGAAGCCCAACAAAATTATAAAGAAGTCAACGATCCTGCTATCACTATTTCCTTCCCATTAATTGATGACGAAGATACCATTTTGGTTGCTTGGACTACTACTCCATGGACTTTGCCAGCTAACATTGCCTTAGCCGTCAATCCAAACTTTGAGTACGTCAAGATTTACGACGAAGACAAGAAGAAGAACTTTATTCTTTTAGAATCTTTGCTTACTACTTTGTACAAGAAACCAAAGACCGCTAAATTTAAGGTTGTTGAAAAGATTCAAGGTAAGGACTTGGTTGGTCTTAAATACAAGCCATTGTTTAACTACTTTTATGAAGAATTTAAAGATACTGGTTTCAAAGTCATTCCTGCCGACTATGTTACTAATGATTCTGGTACTGGTATTGTTCATCAAGCTCCATCATATGGTGAAGAGGATTTCAACGCTGGTACTGCCGCTGGTGTCATTAGTGAAAAAAAGACTCCACCAAATATTGTTGACGATTCCGGTAAAATGGAAGCTAATGTCCCTGAATTTGCTGGTATGTACTTTAAGGACGCTGATAAAGCCATCATTAAGAAGTTGACCGAAGATGGCAGAATCTTGGTCAATTCTCAATCTAAGCATTCATACCCATTCTGTTGGAGATCAGATACTCCATTGATGTACAGAACTGTTCCAGCTTGGTTTGTTAGAATCGGGGAAGTCATTCCACAAATGTTGGATAATGTTGAAAAAACCAATTGGGTTCCTTCCAATATTAAAGATAAGAGATTCTCTAATTGGATTGCAAATGCCAGAGACTGGAACATCTCAAGAAACAGATACTGGGGTACCCCTATCCCATTGTGGGTTTCCGATGATTTTGAAGAAATTGTCTGTGTTGGTTCTATTGACGAATTGAAGGAATTGTCTGGACGTGATGACATCACTGACATCCATCGTGAAAGTATTGACTCCATCACCATTCCATCCAAGAAAGGAAAGGGTCAATTGAAGAGAATTGAAGAAGTATTTGATTGTTGGTTTGAATCTGGTTCTATGCCTTATGCTTCTCAACATTATCCTTTCGAAAACGAAAAGAAATTCTTGAATGCTTTCCCAGCTAACTTTATTTCTGAAGGTTTGGATCAAACTAGAGGATGGTTCTACACTTTGACCGTTTTAGGTACTCATTTGTTCAACACTGCTCCATACCAAAATGTCATTGTTACTGGTATTGTTTTAGCTGCTGACGGTAAGAAAATGTCTAAGCGTTTGAAGAACTACCCTGATCCAACTTTAGTCTTGGACAAGTATGGTGCTGATGCATTGAGATTGTACTTGATCAACTCCCCTGTCTTAAGAGCCGAAACTTTGAAATTCAAAGAAGAAGGTGTTAAAGAAATTGTTTCAAGTGTCTTGTTGCCATGGTACAACTCTTTCAAGTTCTTGAAAGATGCTGCTGATTTGTTCAAGAAGGAACAAAACCAAGACTTTGTTTACGATTCCAGCTTGAAATCTACCAATGTCATGGACAGATGGCTTTTGGCTTCTATCCAATCTTTGATCAAATTCATTCACCAAGAAATGCAAGGTTACAGATTGTATACCGTTGTTCCAAAATTATTGCATTTCATTGATGATTTGACCAACTGGTACATTAGATTTAACCGTCGTAGAATTAAGGGTTACTCATCAGAAGACACAGACGATACCAGAAAGGGTCTTAATACTTTGGCTGAAGCTTTATTGACTTTGTCTAGAGCCATGGCTCCATTTACCCCATACTTGGCTGATGGAATTTACCAAAGAATCAAGGTCTACTTCACCAATGAAGACTTGACTAAATTTGCTATCAATCCAAATAACGTTGACTTGAGATCCGTCCATTTCTTGAGTTATCCATCCGTTAGACAAGAATTGTTTGATGAAAAGATTGAGCTTGCTGTTTCAAGAATGCAAAAGGTCATTGACTTGGCTAGAAACATCAGAGAAAAGAAGATGATTTCATTGAAGACCCCATTGAATGAATTGGTTGTCTTGAACTCTGATCCTTCCTTCTTGAGTGATGTTGAATCATTAAAGGGATACATTAGTGATGAATTGAATGTTCGTAATGTTGTCATTACTTCTGACGAAGCTAAATACTGTGTTGAATACTCATGTGTTGCTGATTGGCCAGTATTGGGTAAGAAGTTGAAGAAAGATGCCAAGAGAGTCAAAGATGCTTTACCAAATGTTTCATCTGCTGAAGTCCAAAAATTTGCTGAATGTGGTAAGATTACTGTTGATGGCATTGATTTGGTCACTGAAGACTTGCAAGTCCAAAAAGGTTTATCTGCTTCAAAGGCTGCTGAAGGACAAGAGTTTAGATCTCACCAAGACATGTTGGTTATCTTGGATGTCAACTTACATCCAGAATTAGAAAGCGAAGGTTTGGCAAGAGAATTGATTAACCGTATCCAAAGATTGCGTAAGAAGGTTGGATTACAAACCACTGATGATGTTCAAGTCCAATACGAGGTTGTCAAGGACACCATCGACTTACCAAACGTTATCAAGCAAAATGAAGAATTGTTGTTGAAGTCAACCAAATACCCAATTCAAGAAATCAATAATTCTGCTGAATCATCAGAAGTCATCACTGACGAAGAACAGACTATTAACGATACCGTCTTTAAATTGAGATTGTTGAGAATCTAGATTTTATAGTTTCATAGAAGTATCTATTTACATAATTGGCTATATAATATTAATTATAAATATAGAAATTACACATTATATAAAAGCGCATGAACGTCAACGACTTCATTCATCAATTGACCTAGTTAATTACCCAAGAGCTAATACCGGCTCCTCCAATAACAGCAATATCTTTGCCATCAATTTGAGTTACATCACAGCAACCAGTATCAGCCACTGTTGTGTATGTAGCGCCTAAACATTCCAACTTGCCCAGTTTATGAGACCACAATCTAACAATTTGTTCAACAGAAGTCGCAATAAACTTGTCGGCACAACCCAAGCTAGCAATAGAAGTAATAGTTGCAGATGCAGCGTTTTCTGAAGAACAGACTGTATCAATTGTCAAGTTTTGAACATCATCAGTAGTCTGAGAACTTATTCTGGAAACTATGATGGCATTGTCATCACCCCCTGTTATCAAAGTATATCCATCGCCATCTTGACAAAGTTCTAATGCCTTAACCCCGCTTTGGTGGAGCTGCTTGGTTGCGACGCTAACCAGGGTTTTACCAGCAATTGCTCGGCTAATGTCCCAGATAGAAACAAAACCATCGGTGGAGCCAAATACCAAATACTTATTCTCGTTTATCTCTATGAAATCACAGTTCAAAATACAACATGTTCTGTAGAAAAAGGAGTCTATTAATTTAAATCCAGTTTCCACGTCAAAGTTCCAAATTTTAACATTCGAATCAGAGTAGACTGTAGCAATGATGAACCCATTTTCAGTTTCAAAAGAACAGAAATCTATCACTCTGAGATCAGGAACTTGCTTGGTTGGTTGCAAACGGTTATATTCAGTAAGTAAAGGAGTATCCTTTTCCCATGTCAATTTCCAAATAATGAATTCCTCATTGGCCGCTGAACTAGCAATAAATGTGTCGTTCAAAAACTTTATCAGTTGCATTCCTGAAATATGATTGTTCATGCTCCAGACGTTAATTATTTCACCACTTGCACCACCTAATTTGCTGATACAGATCGATGAGTCTTCAGATGATGTGACAACTACCCTACTATCTCTTGAAATGGCAAGGTCACGTATCTCACGTCCATGTGTACCATTCTGAATTAATCCAAAATTGTCCTTAAAACGAACTTGATGAGATCGAATACAAAGTTCATCTTTGTTTGTATAAATAAACTTGAATGAATCATGACTGTTGTTGCTGTGAAACTTGAAATTTCTATGTCCTGTACCTCCACAGTTTTCATTCATAATCTCCATCTGCTTTGTTTCATTCCAAACAAAAAAGTATGATGATTTAAATCCGTACAAAATCAAGTCTTTATCGTGCATGAAACCCCCTTCAATAAACCCTCTGCTGATTTTGTTTTGCTGTAAAATGTTTAAATCAAATTCCGAGTTTGTAAATCCAACCCTTGCAATAGTATAGGTACCATCTCTTGCAAGAAGCAACAAGTCCACTAAAGCCTCTGCACTTTTGGTCACTGATACTGAGGATATTGTGTCACCCGGAGACAACTTTCTGAAGATTGTGCTCTCCATTGACTCTAAGTTCACGACTTGAATTGAAACTTTTTTTGAAGCCAAAACCAACCAGTTATTCGCTACGTCTACTGTAAATGATGTCAATGGGAACCTTGAATCAGTTTTAGGGACGCGTGTAACACTTGAAACAGTCAAATCCAGATCTGAATAATTAAACTCGGCAAGTAAAAATGGAACGTTTGGGTTTGGACAATCCACAAGCATGAAATATCTATTCGAAATGCAGCTTATATGTATATTTTTCACCTTACCTGGACCCATAATCGATGCCATGTCTCTAATCCATGATACTTTTGGAGCTTCTTCTTGGTTGCAATCAATACATAAAACATCACCATTGGAGGCACCAACAAGGACGATGTTTATGTCGGAAAATCCACCAACAATTCCAAAACTAGAAAATTCTTGATACTGACCAATAATTGAAAACACTCCACCACTGTACCTAATCAAGCGACCACGTGAAGTTAAAAGCACCAATGTTTTATGTGACTCAACTTCATAGTAGTCTCTGATGAACTCGGATTTTTCTAATTGAGCATCGACAGCATTATAAATGGTCGATAATGAGAATTTGGATACACTTTGACTGTTTAAATCATGAAGACGTATTTTGCCATCAGCACCACCTGTAACCACAAAGTTCAAATTCAAATTATCAACATCTGCACTCCATATATGCTTCCCACGATGGAAATTTTCCCATAGTTCACGTTGCACAAGAAGCTCATTTCCTGGGATATATTCCCAAACTCTTAAAGAACAATCTTCCCCACAAGAAACAATTTTTACGTTGGAAGTGTTGGTTTTCAGTTCTGGTTTAAAAAAATTTAAAGTCCAAATACGTGATCCATGCCCCCAACCAGTTGCCAAAAGCTTTCCATCTTCAAAGTTGTACAATTTTATTGATCTATCGTCAGAACAACTAGTGATGTATGACCCAGTAGGATCAATCTGCACTCCAAAAATAGACCCCTCATGCTCAGTCAAAGTATGTTTGATACTTCTTGAACTTAAATTCCAAATGATAACACCACTCATCACAGTTCCAGCAGCAATATAAACTTCCCCGTTTGGTAATTTTGCAATTGAACCACTGTACAATATCGATTTCTCATTGCAATCGATTTTGTCAACTATTGAATAATCGTGAATATTTACCTTAATTATTGTATTATGTGAGTTCAATAACAAGACATGATCATCATTTAAGATACATGATGTGATAATCCATTCATTTAGTAATTTCTCAGGGAAACTTTCTATTTGCTTTTCAATTAAATCATTGAAATTCAAAATCATAAACGATTGGGCACCACTAATCACTATCTTACCTGTATTTGAGCTGATATCGATATGGTGGATCTTATTTCTTTTGAACACTTGCTTTTCGAAAATTATACTAGTTGTATTCGAATCATGTACTTTGAAGATTTTTAAAATAGGACCATAACCTGCAATTATGTATTCTTCATAAATCCTTAAAGAAGTAACAGGTCCATAGTGGAACAATTTCTCAAATATATTCTCATTCACAGAAGAAATTGGGTTCAACTCGTCTGTAGTCATTCGTTCTGTGTTGGGTTAAAGTTCTATGAAAGTTGATTGAAAGATCTAGCTCATCTATGAAAATCAAAAAAAAAAAAAAATGAAAAACTTCTCGGTACGGATAATTTTTCACTTATCGCTCTAGGCGTTGCACGACAGCATTAGGAAGAAAAAAAAAATGAGAAAAACTGGTAAATGAACGACCAAGGTAAAAGCAAAGCAAAAATGTTGAGGCAACAATAGGAATCAACAATTACACAGAGATTGAAAGAGAGAAAAAAAAATAAGGATCAACACATTCATGGGAATAGCCCTAATTATCAGTCATTAGATATATCATTAGACATAACCACAATAAAAAGATGTCAGTAAATCTAGCAAAAGTCAAGGACACATACTTTGACAAGTTATTTTCAACAAGTGGTGATTCGAACAATGTGAGACCAACGACCCAGTCCTCGTCATTATCGTCTCTGGGAAAGAAGAAACCACGTGTATTATTACTTGACAAGTTTACTACTCCGATAATATCCATGTGCTACACTCAGTCTCAACTATTGGCCAATGATATCATATTGATAGAATTGGTAGATAATTATCATCAATTGACTTCAATGAAACATTTGGATTGTATTGTGTACATCAAACCGTGTCTGGAATCTGTCAACTTTATATGTCAAGAATTGCGCAATCCTCATTTTGGAGAGTATCGATTATATTTGAACAATTGTATCAGTAAGAACCAGTTGGAATCGATTGCTGAAGCAGACCAATATGAAGCCATCGATAAAGTAATGGAGATTTTTGAAGATTACCTTATAGTTAACGACAATTTATATGTTGTTGATACCACATTCCAAACAGAACTGGTGAATCCAGTTCTCCTGGAAAGTGAGAAATTGGTGAGCTTACTTTTGGCACTTAAAAAAACTCCGATAATTAAATTTGAGTCGAATTCAATTGATTTAAAACGATTGAGTTCGGAGCTTTTGTACCAGATAAACTCCAACTCAAATAACAACTTGTTTGACGATTTGAACCGTAATTCAGACACCCCTCCATTGATAGTATTGCTTGATCGTAAGAATGATCCAATCACTCCGTTGGTGACGCCATGGACCTACCAATCAATGATTCATGAGTTTATGACAATTAACAAGAATATCGTCAAATTGAATGAAGATGACACTGCATCACAGATTGTTATTTCGGAAGAAAATGATCCTTTCTACAAGGAATCCATGTATTTGAACTACGGTGACTTGACTGAAAAATTTCAAAGATATGTGGAAAAATATAAATCCGAAACAAAACAATCATCTATTGAAAATTTGAAATCATCCAACTTGTCTGAATTGAAGAAAGTTCTCACCAAGTTTCCTGAGTTTAAAAAGTTTTCAACAAATGTGTTGACCCATTTGAACTTAATTGGGGAAATAGATAAACAAATATCGTCTCAGAATTTGTGGGAAATTGGGGAATTACAACAAACTATTGCCTGTGATTTAGAGAATCAACACAACCTTCGAGCAAGTTTGTTGGAAGTACTAGACAATGTGGGTGGTAAGAAAGTTTCGACAATCAACAAAATAAAATTAGTTCTACTCTACTCATTCAGACACAATAATGCTAGTGACTTGTCCTTGTTTTTACAAAAATTGAACAATCCAGATCTCACTTCCCCACTACCAACAAACACACAGATTCAATTGATTAAGCGGTTCAAAACCTTATTCGGTGCAAGAAATATTACTGATCAAAAGAAGTTGCAGGAGCAGAATGAAGGTTTGACCAACATTTTCTCGAATAAGAAGATTGATATCAATAAATTATTTAACAGAAACAATGCCAATCAATCAAAATCAGACAATATTTACTTGCAGTATACACCCAGATTGAATGAGATATTGGCCGGATTGATTAACCCTTCCCAGAACCAAGAAGATTCATTAGGATTGTCAACTTTAGTTCCTGACAAAGTGAAACAACAATATGGAGTAGGAGTCACCAATGAGCCAGTACAAGATATAATCATATACATCAAAGGCGGTGTTACATATGAAGAAGGCAGATTGGCTTATGAATTATCGGAGAGCAACAAGAGAATCAATCTAATTGTCGGAGGGGACGGAATTTTGAATAGCACCCAGTGGTTAGAAAAGTTATATTCGATCGCGAATAACGACGGAGACCGTGCTAGTGATGATATGACAACTTCTGATAGACAAGCCCAATTGCGTGAAATTTTGTAGTTCGTCTACAAATATACATACATACTATGTGTGAAACTATTACTGTCTGAGCATGATCATTTCTGTTAAGTTTAATTCATTTTGCGATAGTCTGGTCAATTTTTTTCTCTCAAGTATGATCATATCCGTGCCCTTCTTTATAGGATATTCCATGTTAAGCAATTTCCATTTTTGTCAATCACTTCACCATTATTGGCGTCACAGTCTAAATCTTCTCTTGTTCCAATATCACACATAGTTCGTATTGGTGAATCGATCATGATTCTTCTAGGTTTTAAGTTCTCCCAAGCGTGGTCAACGATTACTTTCTTTCGGTCATATATAATCTTTCGTATCTGTGGCGTCACTTCCAACATAGGAATATAACCAAATACTCGAGTTGACAAGTCAGCTTTATCCAGGTAACAACCTATAGTTGTATCAATCATTCTTTGCTTGGTTATCTTAGCTGTGAGTTTGTACCCCAAGGTAAATCCAATGGTGGCAGCATTGATCAAGATCGCTTCTCCTAAACTGAAACCCAACCCTAGACTTAATCGCAGATAAATTGACGTTCTGTGTGTTATTGCAACCCCAACAGGGGATGACTCAGCAGCCAAGGAAGAGTTTAGTTTTTGATTGTTGGTGATAGTTTTTCGAGACACACATGGTGTTAATGGGACAAGTGTAGTATGTAAGGTTCGTTTAATATAAGATATTTCAACAAATTTCAAGTTTCGAATTCTGTGAATTTCATCATCAGGGGTGACTAATATTTCGTCTGATGGAACTATGGTGGTATTGGTATCGTTGAATGATATAATCGTTTTGGGATTCTTCCAGAATAATATTTGAAGAACAAACGGAGTTACTAAAGACCGGTTCAGTATTGAATAATGATCTATATCTGTTACATTTTGTGTATCCAAATCAATGAATATCGTTACAACAATAATTGATTGTAGTAGAAAGATAAGTATTAGTGGAAATCGCATAATCGAATACACTGTGGTATTGTTTCTCATTAGATATTTTTTATTTTATTTTTATTTTTTATTTTTTTTTTTTTTTTTCGCAGCAATTCTTACCAAAAATGGTTGAAAATCAAGAACAAAAGAAAGCAACAGCATAGCAAAAGAATTTTAAAACATTAGCCTATAGTATTATATGTACGATGGACGTTATCTATACTTTTCTTCAACAGAACAGCAATTTTGTAAATCCCTTGCCCAGGCTTGAACACTGTGAAGGTATGGAAACTACTGACGAAACTCAGTCGCATTAATTCCCTCCCCCTGATGCAAGTTCCTTGTGTCAAGCAATCCATTGTAAGTTCTTCTGCCATAAAATTGAATCTAAAAAAAAACAATCTTATTTATTCCTACTTCTTAATATAATCATTATATAATCCACGAAAGATGGTGGCTACTGAATGTCTACCAGTATAAAATGGAACGAAACCAATCAAAATCAAAGTGATATACAACCAAATCATCGAGAACGTGACATACCCTTTGAAATAAGCAGCCGTGAATATCCAATTTCTATACAATGACATTGGCCAAATAACCCAGGTAATCAACAAAATGAAAATCACAGCGCCAGTAGCAAACTTAATCCAGAAATCCAATTCCTTTTCTGTAATCTGATTCTCATTCGATATTTTTGATGACTCCAACGATGCAGATGATTGTTCTAAATCAGTGATAACATCAACTTCATCTTTCTTATCTTCAGTAGTGGGATTAAATTCAACTGACTTTGTTTCTTGACTTTCATTCTGAACTTCATAGATATTATCAACATTCACAGTCAAGTCCACTTCCTTCAATTGTGCCCATTCAAATTTTTCTGGTTTGATCAATGATATGATTTATACTGTAACACCAGGTAGTAACAAGGCAGTTAAACCACCATACAATGCAGGCAATTGGCCACCAAGAGATTCAATATTGATTGCACCATAGTAATGAGACGCAGTAGTTAACCATACAGCAATACCAGCACCTAAACCAACTATTGGAGAAATAAAAGCCGCCCAGAAAGTTTGTCTACTCCAAGTAATGGTGAAGAGAAGAGGTATCACACCAGGTGTAATAAAGATTGGACCAGCATATCCATATAACGTCATGTTTACATTGACGTAATGTAACATTACGCTAAACCCAGCAATACCAAAACCAAAGACAACACAGGCAATATGTGAAACAGTTATCATAGATTTATTCCGCGCTTGAGGGTTGATATATCTTTTGTAGATGTCGAATGAAACAATAGATGACACCGACACCATTTGAGCTGACAAAGTAGAGGTCACTGCAAGGTATATTACCAAGAGTATTGCCCCAACTGCTCCGTTACCCAACGTAGCTTTCAACACATATGGTATCACAAATCCTGAACCAACTTCAAAGGCAGTCATTTTTCTAGGATATGTTGGAAATGATGGATCGCTTTCGAGGAAAATCAGCGCTCCACCACAGATAGCACCAATGGGGAAAACATTTGACACAATAAAGACAGCAGTAAGGAGATAAGCAGGAACTGTGGCTCTTGGAGAAGCTGAGAAAGTTTTTTGCCAGAATGACGAATCCATCACAGTTAACCCAAAGTTACCACAAGTCAAGATCAAGCCAAAAATAACCGCCCCTTGTGACTTACCTGTGAGAACAGAGCCTTCATAATTACCTTCAATGTACCTGTACTTTGAAGCTTCAAGCAACTTATTGTACAAACCGTTCAAACCACCGATTTGTTCCGATGACAAGACACTAGTATTTAAGTAGCAGAAAATGATAAGCAAAACAGTTGTATGGATGAAATCAGTCAAGAATGTCGCCTTTAAACCACCGATGACAGTATACAACAAAACTCCAAATGGAATTAACATAGTAGCAGCAACAATATGTAAATTTCCAGCTATGATTGAAATAGCACCGGCTGCGCCAAGAATCATTCCTGATGCACTAAAGATGTTGCAAATCAAAGACAAGATCAAATACAAAATATGAGCAAATTTTCCATAACGTATGTTAACAGCTTCTAAACTGGTGTGTGCAGTTGGTATTTTCTTTTTGGCATGAATACCAATCAATGACATGACAGCTATTTGAATACATAACCCAGCACCATAATAATAAGAAGCTTGGATACCATAATTATAAGTCATCAGTCCAACCCATAAAGATTCTGTTGCCCATGTCCAACTAGAATACACTGCCGAAGCTGAGAGAAACAACCCAACTGAACGATTTGCGACAGAAAAGGTTTCAGTACTATTTGCATCTTCATGAAGATATCTTTGTAATAGTTTTGTTGTAATGATCATCCCGATAGCAAATGCAGCACCAACACCTACCAAGACACCATATCCAGCACCCTGGCCTAATAAATGAACAGATTCTTCAGACATGTTTGATTTGTTGATTTTGAATCAAACAATTTGGGACAAAACGAATGAACAACATGGGTAAATATCACTATTTATACAACAATTGGTTGAAATGGAACACATTTTTTGGTTCGGAAGAATCCATATTGACCCGATATGTGATATTTATTGCAAATTGGTAACTTTCAAAGTGTGGCTTTACATTGTTATGTAAGTTCCAGATGCCACTGAATTGCAGCCCTGTTCACTCCTAGATAGGTTGTTTTACCACGTGACTGATTCTAATTAGTAGTTTTACAGAATGATTTTAATCAATATGGGGGGTTTGTTTTGCCATGAGTTTGAGACGTATCCAGATCACCAATCCTATCGACATTACTTGTATCATAATATTTATTTAACTAAACAGTAGGTGGGTCTGCAAAGATACCAAAAAGTAGTACATATTTCTTCTATCAATGTTGAAACGGCAGGGAGAATTAATACCTAAAATCCAAAACATACTGATTTTATATTGGTAGCCCGAAATCTTTTGGTTGAGATTATTATCTCTTTCCGGTACAGGATATTTGAATTTGGTAGACCGAATAATTTTTTTTTTTCACTGTGGCATTTCTTGGTTTAATCGGGGAACAACTGTGTTTGCCAAAACAATAAAAAAAACGTTATTCAAATTTATCGGACAAACTGTTTGTGGGTTGCACTGAGGGAACCAGAAGTAGTGCACCGAGGAAAGCAGATAAGAAATGTCGTGCATAGGTTCCGATGCTAAGAAGAGTATATTATTACTGTTGGCACTATTAAAAGATATTGAATATTCAATTTGATAATAATATAATTATGCTATGTTAATTGTGGATTATGCTTAAATGTCCACAATGTTCATTGTCACTTGTTTTGCAATGACTGTTTATTTATGATTAAGGTAGTGTCAAAACAAATTTGTGAAAACATCTGGGCCCGAGCGAAGCGGATTATTACTCGCACTACCTTCGAAGTTTAATTTTCTTTGTTGACAGCAGCTTGCAAAAAGTTTCAAACTATTTTTTTTGGCAAACACACTTGTTCATCCGTTATGTAATTTGAGTTGTGAAGGATTAAACAAATGTAGGAATTTGCTAAAAATCTTGAATGTGTATTATCTCTTATGAATCACTAATATACCAGATATTGGGTTTATCTGCATTTAATCCCTGTGAATGTGATAATTCTCATCTCTGAGCGACAAAACTATTTATACAAGTTGTAACATTGGACTTCTGGTACGGTGAACAAATTCTTTATACTATCTGACATGTCAACTCTTTTTACCCAAGATATGGTATATTATTAACAGGACATGTCAACGTGGTCTATGAATATTAGCAACAGCTATTAAACTTTATTACTCGGCGTTATTAAACTCTATTGATATGTGTAATAAATTTGTCGTAGGGGAGAAAAAAAAAATCTATTACCATTTAATACGATCATTATAAACGGAAGAACAAAAAAAATTTTTGAGCCCAAATAATCATTTCCCCCTTTATTTTTCCTAGGATCAAAGTTTCCCCAAATTTTTTTTTTTTGACGTGTTGTCTCACCTTCCTCTATCCTCCATTCAATCAATTCACCAAGATTCCAAAACTTTCAAATTTGAAAAAGATGCCTTACTACGCAGTTGCCAAAGGGTCAAAGACCGGCGTCTATAATAACTGGAGCGACTGTAAAGCACAAGTCAATGGTTATAGTGGAGCTAGTTTTAAGAAATTTAATACGGCTGCAGAAGCAAACGCGTTTGTTTCAAGTGGCGGAAACTCGAGCGGCGGTAGTTCTAGTGGTGGCTATTCTCGTGGTGGTTCTTCTAGTAGTGGTTATTCTCGTGGATATTCTGGTAGTTCTTCTAGTGGATATTCTGGTGGATACTCTGGTGGAAACTACTCTGGCGGCTATAGCAGCAGTTCCATATCCAAGCCATCAAGCTCAAAGGTGACCAAGAGTTCAAGAGTTTATGTTGATGGGGCCTCAAGAGGAAATGGGAAATCAGCCAATGCTCCATCTGGATACGGTGTTTACTGGGGTCCAAATGATCCAAGAAATGCTGCGGTGCCATTAGACAAAGTTGATAGAGGTACTTCATTCAAGCCAACAAACCAAAGGGCAGAATTAAGAGCGATTAACCATGCCTTGAAAGACATTCATAATGACTTGAAACTGGGAAATGCTAGTACTAAGACAGAGATTCATAGTGATTCGCGCTATGCTATTAGAAGTGTCGATGAATGGTCAGACAAATGGGCTGCAAACGGATGGAAGAATTCCAAAGGGGAACCTGTTGCCAATCAGGAGTTAATTAAAGAAACAGTGGCATTGAAAAACAGTATTAATAAAGAGTATCAAGCTCGTAATTGGGGTGATGTTGAATTTGTGCATGTGAAGGGACACTCAGGAAATCCCGGTAATGAAGCAGCTGATAGATTAGCCAACCAAGGTGCTGATAACTATGGGAAATACAAGTAAACGAATAGACTAAACATCAAACAACATATTGCTAATTTTTCACCTATTAAGTGTTTTGTTCGTTTTCATTGAATTAGAGATTAATTATTGTTAGATTTTTTTTTTTCTTGATAACTTTAGAATGTATTAACGTATAAATCCATGAAGTGTAATGAATGTACGATTGGTTATTGTGATAGTAAACATTGGAAACTTAGAAAATTAAGTATGTGGGTTATTGTGCACTTCTAACAAACAGGAATACAGTGAATTCAAGATCACTATTTTGCCAAACAAACATTGTTTTATCTACATATTTCAATATACCTCACATTACGAATACATTATATTGTCCTTGTTTTTAAATCAAATTGTATGTCCCGAAATACAAACAGTTAAAACTGGACATACCAAGGCTCTATCATTTCAAATATACATAAGCTATAAATGTAACTGGTCGTTATATAAAAAACCAACCAACGGGTTGACTGGTTTTGGTTTACCTCCTAATTTATGACTTTTTCTGAATTGCTCGTGGTTTAGAACCAACTCCCCACTTGGGTAACCATCTGGAACAGGATTATTCAAACGTTTAGATACTTCATGGAATAACTCGTCTTTATCAGCTGTCTTAATCTCACCATGTAATTGCTCAATAGTTTTTGCTAAATCCTTGTGGCCTTCAAACTCCTTTACCAACCCTTGAATGAACTCGTGGTCAACGGTGATTCCATGGCGGTATAAATAGTTGACTATAGCGGATTGTAACCTCTTTGACTCCGTGAACTGGATTGGGTTTTGTGATTTGAGGAACGTGATCAATTTACCAGTCTTGTCGTTTCTAGCAATATACAAATTGAAAAACTCAATGAACTCAGCCTTGGTTATGTCCTCCAATACTTCGACCTGTCTCGTTCTTCCATCAAAGTCATAGTAACCATCCACAATACTCGACCAGAGACGACCAGTCTCTTCACTCAAATGCTTCAACTTGGTCAACTTGATATTCTTCAATGCATGTTTGAACTTGATGAAATCTTCGGTCGTCAATTCGTTGTTGACAAAGTTTCCAAAACTGTTCAAGAACTCTTCAATACGGTATTGCAAATAATCACACGTTCTCTCTGACTGAATCAAGATTCTAAAACCAAGGGATGTTCTGCCCAAATGGATCCCCGAAAATACGACATATCCCAATTGCTCTTTTGTTCGCAACTGATCAAAACAAGGTTCCTTGATGACTGTACAGAACAAGTCTGTCAACACACGCAATTTCAAATCATCTGCATTTGGTGCGATCTGGATATAGTACTCAATGCACGAATTAATATTTGCTTCATCCTTCAATGACATCTCATAGCGGATCACCTCCTCTGGTTCAAAGACATAACCTTCCAAGTGGAATTTCTCTTCATCGTACTCTTCCATCCATGGCTTGATGTGTTTTATAGAATCATTTATGGTGTCTTTGATTGCTCTTGCTTTGGTAACGTCAAAATTCCCATGCACCAATACCTCTGCAAAAACACCTTCTTCCCAGATGGTGTCTCTGAAGTGACGTTGAAGCTGCTCAAATGTCACTCCTTCCAATGCCTTAATCTTGTCATCTTGGAAGTATAGCTTTTCATTCGTCAAATGAATCATGTGAACTCCAATCTGTTGAAACGGATCTTTGAACAAGAAAGTCTTCCAATTATTAAGCAACTTATATTTGATCGACTCAAAGCTTGATTCCGATGGTTTGAATGCAAACAATTCAGAAAGAACGTGTTCCAACAAAACATCGAGCTTGTCGTTGTAACCAGACACCTTGATAACGAATCCGTCTCTCCATGTGTGAACCGTGGCCCTCATACCCACCAATTGTGCATAATAATTGACATCATTAATGGCTTCATTGAACAACTCAATGCTCAAACTAGTCAATACAGAAGTCAAGACATCGCTGTTGGAGCTTGGCAAATGTGCCGCGATCTGAATCGTACCCTTTGGAACTTTGAACGTTTGATCCTGTTTGAACCACACATTCATTTTGTTGGTGGTGCTGATCACATGCGGAGCAACAGCGGTGCTGCCATGGCCCAGCGCCAAAACTTTGAAATCTGTTGGGATGAACTCATTTGCATCAGGGTAATGGAAGTCGATCTTAGAACTCACCGGAGTAAGCAACTCAGCTGGGATCGGCTCCACCGCATACTTGGTCTTGTACCATTTTTCAACCTTATCCAATCCAGTTAATGTTTGTGAAACCAAACTGACTCTAAGATTATCCGCAGTTAGATACTGACCATACTTTTTAATAGCTTCGGGTGAAAATGTTCTGGTAATAGAATCACTTAAAAGGTATTTTGGAGGAATTAACCCATCGAACTTGTACAACTTGCTGCTCAACCCAGAAACAGTGGATGAAGCCTCGGCCTTCTGTTTGAACCTGAAGTTAATCTGTGCCATTTCTTCGATCTCTTTCCATATCCATTTTTGTGGCTTGTCTTCGGTGACAAATCTCACGTTTTCCAAGGTACACTTGATAATATCTTCCCATTGTTCCAAACCCTTTGGAGTTAATTGGATTTCAATATAAAACAAAGAACATCCTTGACAAATCTTCATACCACCTGCCGACAACTCAGTACACAACCCCTTCTGCTTCAAGTAATATGCCAATGAACCTTTAGATTCATGACCCAATAAATGAGAGAAATATCTTTCCGGCTTGCTATCCCAATATGTCTCCATGTCGTCTGGTATCATGAAGCTTAACTCTAATTTGTGGTCATCATTTATTGGAGCAGCTTTTATCAACTGACCCAACTGTTCTGGTTTGTATATCAATTCGCCATTGTAATTTGCACCAGGATAGTCCTTGTTTGGAATATCCGAAAACTTCTCAATAGCCCATTCTGAAAGGGTATCCAAATCCTCTTTTCCCAATATAACCAAATTCATTAAATTGGCAGAATAGTGTTGGGTGTAGAACTCAATTAATATCTCTCTTACATCCAAGCCTCTGCTAAGTGGGTCGACGTGTAAAGTCTCGAAATTACCTGTTGAAAACCCATTATACGGATGTGATGGGTTACTAGTAGCTTTATCCAACTGAAACAACCTCCAGATATCATTTTGTAAATTCTTTTTGTTCTCTGAATCAACAGCATTGATTTCACGGTCCTGACAGGTTTTGCTAAACAATGGACTGATGAAAAATTGGGCAAATCTGTCCAATGCTCCTTCCAAGTAATCAGACCCCACTTGAAAATAGTAATTAGTGTGCTCGGCAGCCGTGTAGGCATTGGAATGGCCAGAATGCTTGGATAAATAATTGGAATATTCGTTCTCCTTGGGATACTTTTCGGTCCCCATAAATAATAAATGTTCACAGAAATGAGCCAAACCGGAGATACCATATTGCTTATCAGCAAAAGAACCCACACGAACATCTAAAGATGCAGCTGATTTGTCTGCAGTTGGGTCGCTAATCAATAACACCGTCAAGTTGTTGTCCTTGAGTTTGACTAGTCTGTATGAACGATCATCAAGTAAAGGTTTTTCAATCACCGGATTGTCTGCCAATACAGTAAACTGGTTTGTCATGGTGGCTAGTTTGTGCAGTTGTCTTGCTATATGAATGAATACGTTGGCTGTTCTTGAAGAAAATCTCCAATAATTTGCAAAATATAACAACAAAACAATCTTAAATATATAATTTTTTTTTGAAGAAACAGAAGTTCTAAATAAAGCACAGGGAAATGGTTGTTGAGGTTGTGGATATGAATTTTCAACTATTTCGTTAAACTTTATAGTTTTTCAATCAGTGTGGCGGGGTGAACCAACAAGAAAACATACAGTGGGGGGACATAGATTTGAAAGCGGAATTGAAAAAATAAACAAAGAAAAATTCGTCAAATTGACAAAATTATTTGTCCATAGTAGTGAGTGCGAAAATCTATTAGTAAAAATTAAAAAGAAGTAGTGTCTATTACAAATATACTCCGTGATCAAACAATCAAAAAATTCCAATAGAAAAAAAATGAATTTGTATGAGAAACAAGCAATTAACCATGCCTTTTTGAAGCTGTTGATTACAGCACCAAAAATTTCTAAAGAGACCTTATGGTCAGACAATATTAGATGTCTAAGTAGCAGGTATCAGTTACCACTGCGCTTTATAGAGTATTATTTACTGCTGTTTGAAATAATTAACAAACTATTAAACTCGGAACGAGACTATCAAAAGTACTCTATATTTACCCTCCGAAGCCGTTGTTTACATCAAATTTTGCTTGTTTACATTTTGAGGGATTGTTGTTTTCTTTTCTTCTGATTTCTTAGAATTTTGGCTGAGAGCGGAATTTTTGTTTGTTTATTTTTTCAATTCCGCTTTCAAATCTATGTCCCCCCACTGTAAAAGAAATTTCAGACAAAAAAAAAAAAAAAACCAGCAAGGAACTGACGCAAGTAACATAAGGATTTACTCACCCATACCTATGACAATACCTTATTTAGAGTATAAAGAAATATGTTGATCGGATATTTGATAATGGTCATTTCATTAGTACGATTTGCAGAGAATGTATAACATTCATTGTTTGAAACTTTTTTCCTCCTCCGTTTTGGCATTATCCGTGGTTTCATTTCTACATGAACAATACCCGGTAGTATAAACCTTGAAGTAAAAAAAAAAAGTAACAAAGAACTGACATTGAATTAAAACTTGTATAAGGTTACGCAAGCAGATGAATGATGTCAATTGATGATAATTATTTTAGGGTATTCTCTTTTGACGACAAATATGTCTTCTGTCAACTAGTGTATTCACCCAACAGACGAGCTGACTCTTTGTAAAATCATATTCAATTTTCTCTGGTGCTACGATCTCTGTCTGTAAATATCTCTAAATATGCGTTTAAATATGTTTAATTATATTACTGCAGGAACTAAACTGCATACCGGTCTATTCAATAGTTCATATACAGATACAGCAAGTCAAAATCTGGCCGAAGTCTTATATTTTGAAGTCATTACAAAGACAACATGCGCTCGTATCCTTGATACAGGCCCTGTGAAATCCATGATGACAATTAGTGAAATAGACCAACGAAGCACTTTTGAGCAATAATTGTCCACAAGATGCACACGGTTCACCCGGTTCGATTATAGCCACGGCTTTGCCTTTATTGAAATCTCTTAATTCTTGCTTCAAGCTAGTTGATATGGCCAAAGACTCCTTCATTTCCAATGATAACTGATTAATTTTGGCATTGTATCCATTTAATGACTCTACAATCTCATCCTTAAAGCTATTAACCGACACGCCATCTGGAAGTAGCATGAGCACATCTTTCAATTGAAGTGAGGACTGGCGTAATGTTTCCTTTAATTCCAAGTCTTTATCAATCAAGTATTTACCATACTTTAGCCAAAGCTTTCTTTTTGTATTGTAGTTTGCATTTTCGTACTTGATACTCGACACTTGCTCATCATCATTAGTATCAAATTTACTTAATATGAACTCTGCAAGTGAAACCAACTCATGGGAAAGTGCCAAGTCTAGTGCTTGTTCAAATAATTTCATCTCCGTATAAAGCAACACAGCTGAATGATACTTTTGGTGGGAAATACACAATCTGAGAATAAAGTTCTTATCATAGTTGTTTGTAGAATTAATGAACTTTATAATTCTTTTATCGGTATTACTACTGGTAATCAATAGTGATAAATATGTGTTGTTAACATGTTTACTCTTTTTGTAATTCTTTTCCATAGTCACCTTCTGAAGGAAAGACATTGCCAAATCGGGATGATTCAATAAGGCAGGTAAGAGCCTTTCATATTGTAACTCAAGCTTTAGCCATGTCTCTGTTACTTTAGGATAATTCATTAACATTAAAACTGAAGTCTCATATACTGCTTCTGTCATACCCTTGGTGTATAGCTTGATCAATGTATTCGTTGCTTCCTTCCAATTCTGCTTGTTGAGGTAGTACAGTAAAATATAGGAGTAATCTTCAAGCAATTCAGCATAGAATATCAACTTTTCTGATGTCAACACTTGGTACATTGTAGGACGATCTAAATATTTGAAATTTTCTTTGACAAACCCGGTAAAACGTGTATCCCCACTTCGAACCATTAACACAATAATCCATGTCGACAATATAACCATTTGTATCTTATTCTTTCTATTCATTTTCGCAAGTAAGTATTCAGTAAGCAATTTATCCAATCCTTGATGGTTCAAAATCATCAAGCATACTTTCTCAAATGGCTCCGTCAGCTTTGCCAATATCTGAACACCTCGGATTTGTAAACTCAAGTCATCAGTAACTATACCAAAGCCACCTTGTTGCAAATAGTCATATCCTTGTTTGATCAAAACCAAATCACGTTTGAAAAAATTGTCTTCTCTCTCGTCTTCCAAGTACTTTAAAGCTTCCATATACTTACCCATCTTATAGTAGTCATACCAAACCAGAATCGATTCATTTTCAATAACTAGTTCGTATATAGAACTCTTTGTATATACCCAGTATGTGTTTGAAATAAAATCAGCAGTTATTCCTCGTATTTTGCCACTAGAAACAGTTATTTCCTTTCTTTCCTTGTTGAGTTTATTGTAAATCTTGATCAGATTCTCATGGTACCCTATGATATGATGTGGCGACGTCATAACTCCTGCCAATTTATCACCAATACGATCGACCTGCATTTCTCCATCATTTGTAAGTATTTCATTGTCACGATTTATGAACAAGAAATGGTCCTTACCACAAAAAAGTAAACCTGGTGGGTTAATGGTTCTAATTGTTGGATCTGTATGCTTGAATACTTTATATAATTCAGAATAGGATGTATCAAAACAATCCCATGTGTATAACTTATCTGCAATTATATTTATTTGTGAATTGTTGCTAGAAAAGGTGATGCCGTGAATTGGGGAGTTGGTTTTGTATACTTGTTTTAATGATCTTTCATACAAGTAGATATGTCCTTCTTGTGTACCTATGACTAAGGCACGACTATCTGTGAATGCAACGGATGTGATATTAGTATGTTTAAATTTAAATTGTTTGAAGGATTTCTCGTATAGTTGGTAGTATGAATCATTGTCTATTTGCATGATTAACTCCTTTCCATTAGGGTTGAGCCAAGCATTTGTGAGTTTTCCAGGCAACAGATAGTTATCAACTAACGAGGGATTATCCAAATCAATTCTATACACTAAGTTGGATAATAATATAAACATAACATTATTGCTTACTAACAACTTATTAAATTTATTGTTCAAGTTGAATTGCAAGTGAACCGGCTCCAATTCAATTGTAGGTTGCGGTAGATTATCACATACTAATGCTTGTTGCTGATCCAATGAATGTGATGTATAAGTTGAGTTTGAATCAGACTTGATTGATTTGGAACGACGGCCGTTTGTGTTCATGATGCTGGTTTATTCCACAGTTTTGACGAGTTATACCAGCGTTGACTTTTGATAAATGGTTGTCAGTCTCGGCTTGACCATAGAATCCACTACATCTTTAAAGACAGGGGGAAAAAAAAATGACACACGCACGTGATCTGTAAATACACATCCGAGACTGATAATTCAGTACCTTACAATGAACTCTGAGTAGGACTGCTTGAAAAGATATGACAGAGTAGAAGATGGCGATCCAAATCTAGACGTATTTCAGTACATGTCATTATCACCGCATCAAAGATCAATGCCTGAGTGATATAGAATATGATCACATATAATGAAGCAAACAAATCTACCAAAAAGAAAAAAGAGAAGAGATACTAGTAAAGCTATGCCAGAGGCGAAGCTTAATAATGTACTTCAAAGAAATTACCCATCTGGCATTGAGAATCAATTAAGCTGAGATCTCGTAAGCTTGTGCCCTACATCTCAATGTCCAGTCACATTAGAAAAAGGGGGGCGCATTAATGAAATTTTCTGTTTGTTCACGCATTTATGAATTTTCTCTTGTTGAACATTTTGTGGTTATGTACACTGAAATCCCAGAAATCGTCGCAAGCGCTCACACCATCCAGCACTAATTTCTCCCACAGCAAGAACAAAAAAAAAAAAGAAAAAAGAGAGAAAGAGAGATCCAATCAGTATTTTATAGTTTTAAACCTTGTTTCTTTTACTTCTATTTTATTCCAATTGATAATTATTCTCAACCAATTTCTCGATGAACGTTTTAAAATTACAGAAAAAGTATCCAATTTTGGATCAATCTGATTTATTCAATATTATTGAAGATTTCAGAAGTATTGATTTGGACGATAAGGGTTGGGTAGAAAAGAAAGATGTAATCAACGCAATTTCCAAAAAAGGTCAATACTCCTATGATCAAGCTAGAGAAACTTTGAAACAAGTTGATGTTGATGCTTCAGGTCACGTTGAATTGGACGATTATGTTCAATTGGTTGCCAAATTGAAAGAAGATTCTTCATCTGGTACACCACCTCCAACTACTGCTGGATCTTCGGAATCTCCAGTTGTTTCCCCAAAATTTAAAAAGCCACCTCCACCAATCCCAACTGCTAATAGTAAGAACAAGACTTACCTTGGAGGTAAAACTTCTGGTACAACCCATACTATCAATGATGAAGAAAGAACCGAATTTACTAGACACATTAATTCTGTCTTGGAAGATGATCCAGAAATTGGCAGCAGATTACCATTTGATACAGAAACTTTCCAAATTTTTGATGAATGTAGAGATGGTTTGGTCTTGTCGAAATTGATCAATGATTCTGTTCCAGACACTATTGATACTAGAGTTTTGAACATGCCAAAGGGTAAGAAGGCATTGAATAACTTCCAAATGTCTGAAAATGCAAATATCGTTATCAATTCAGCCAAAGCCATTGGGTGTGTTGTGGTTAATGTGCATTCCGAAGATATAATTGATGGTAAGGAACATTTGATTCTTGGTTTGATTTGGCAAATTATTAGAAGAGGTTTGTTGTCCAAAGTTGACATCAAGTACCATCCAGAATTATACCGTTTATTGGAAGATGATGAAACATTGGAACAATTTTTGCGTTTGCCACCAGAACAAATCTTGTTGCGTTGGTTTAATTACCATTTGAAGAATGCTGGGTCTCAAAGAAGAGTAGCCAACTTTTCTAAGGATGTTAGCGATGGTGAAAATTACACTGTTTTGTTAAACCAATTACAACCAGAACACTGTGACTTGGGTCCATTGAAAACCGGTGATTTATTGACTAGAGCTGAGCAAGTTTTGGATAATGCCGAGAAAATTGGCTGCAGAAAGTATTTGACTCCAAAATCATTGGTGTCTGGTAATCCAAAATTGAACTTGGCTTTTGTTGCCAATTTGTTCAACACCCATCCAGGTTTGCAACCAATTGAAGAACACGAAAATATTGAAATCGAAGAATTTGATGCCGAAGGTGAAAGAGAAGCTAGAGTTTTCACATTGTGGTTAAACTCATTGGATGTCGATCCACCAGTTGTATCACTTTTTGAAGATTTGAAGGATGGTTTGATCTTATTACAAGCTTATGATAAAGTTCTTCCAGGGTCTGTTTCTTGGAAGCACATCAACAAGAAGCCGTCATCAGGTGCAGAAATTTCACGTTTCAAGGCATTGGAAAATACTAACTATGGGGTTGAAATCGGAAAAGCCAACGGATTTTCTCTTGTTGGTATTGAAGGTTCAGACATTGTTGATGGTAATAAATTGTTGACTTTAGGATTGGTATGGCAATTGATGAGACGTAACATTATCAACACATTGTCAGAACTAGGAAAAGGTGGTCATAACCTTACTGATGCCGATATTTTGAAGTGGGCCAACCAGCAAGTTGCCAAAGGTGGCAAATCTTCTTCTGTCAGATCATTCAACGATTCCTCCTTGGCCAATGGTGTCTTCTTATTGGATGTTCTTAATGGTTTGAAACCTGGTTACGTTGATTACGACTTGGTTTATTCCGGTAACAGTGATGAAGAGAAATATGCCAATGCCAAATTGGCCATTTCTATTGCAAGAAAATTGGGTGCTTTAATCTGGTTAGTTCCAGAAGATATCAATGAAGTCAGAAGTAGATTGATTTTGTCCTTTGTCGGTAGTTTGATGGCTGTTTCTGAAAAGTAGAATTGTTGTTGTTTTTGTATGTGTTCATTTTTCAATATTTGTATTTTTCTGTATAAGAATTTATTACACGAGTGATGCTTTTGTAAATTGAGTTGTTATTATGTAGTAGTTACTATCGATGAGTTGGAATCGGGGCTAGAGATTGTATCTTGATGTTAGCTAAGCTTTTCATTGTATAGTGTGACAAACGAAATTCGGGGAGAAGTCTTAAGCTTCAAAGTGTCATATTTCATAAAGATAACAACACATTTGGTTGGATATTACTTATACAGATTATGATAATAATCAAACATACTTATGGTGATGAGGTCATTTGGATATAACATAGAGAAGCTTGTTGCAACAAACCACTTTGGCCGACATTTTTGCTAGTTGTTGATGTCGTATCAATTTGTCTCTTTGTCGCAGTTTTTTTTGCTTGTTCTCAAGATTTTTCACCCACTTTTTTTTTCTTTTCTTTCTTTCAACCAATAGAAAATTTACAAAATAATAAAAAATAATTGTATTGAAATATCTGAGAAACCAATTAATCACTTTTAAAAGAATCACAAATCATGTCAGGAACTCCAATATTACCATTTACAGAAGCAAATACTAAAAGAGTTTCATCATTGTTTAGACAAGCTTTAAGAACTGCTTTTGATCATTCTATGAAATGGGATGTTTATAGAAATGCTACTATAAATATAAGACAACAATTTGATGCTAATAAACATATTTCAACTCCTGAAGAATTAGAAAAAACAATTCAAAAAACTAAAGAAAAATTAGCTGAATGGAAACATCCAGATCCTTATATTCCTCCAGGTAGACCAGGTGGTACTAAATATCAAAGAAATATTCCTGTTGCTAGAGGTCCTCTTGTACCTGGTGATTGGTAAATAAAAAAAAAAAAAATAAGAAAAGAATAGCATTAATTTACTGAACATATACATATTCTATATTTATAATATATAAATTAAAATCAGAGAGATACATATATACAGAAGGGTAATCTCTTGTTGTATTATTTAGTAAATCAATGTATCAGCATCTTCATTATCTATGGCACCTTTCCAATGTTTTAACAAGATTTGAGTTGATACATGAGCAGAAGCAGCACCAATCTGACCAACCATTGAAAAATACTTTAATAACAAGTTTCTTTGATCTGTCTTGGTGGTACTCAATCCAGTTACTAGTAGTGGCCATTGAATCATTAACAACAAGTATGGAGAGGCATGTTGTTGCACATCAGAAAATTGATTCAAGTAATGAATAAACAGAATCATTTGATCAACTAGACTGGAAACGTCAATTATGAAAAATCTTGTTAGAATCATAATAATCGAGGAAAGAACATATGATTGATGGGAAACATCCTGCCAGCTAATCCAATAACTTGAATTATTAATCCGAAGTTCTTCAATGGGTAAACCTGGAACGTATCGGGTCAACTCGTTCTCTGGTATAACTCCTCGAGAGTTGATGTAAACAATATTCGATTGTGTATAAAATTCCGAAACTAATTTCACATATTCCATAGTGTTGATATTAATGTTACTTCTCTTTTTGTTTAATATTTTCAACAAATCACCAAAGCAAGCGATGCAGCTGTTGTCAAAACCCATAAGAATGTTGAACCCTTGATCAGTTATTATACCAATTTCTTTCAATACCCCCACTTCGTATTCATTACCTGGAGTCATGAGCTTGTCGATTTCATAATCTGTCTGTAAAGTACCACCTAAACTTGTACTCAATCCTGCCAAAATTTCAATTGATAAGAACCAGTATTTGCAAAAGACAAACTTTTTTGAAACATTCTGATTGAAAGCTTTGATCAACAATGTTTTTGCTCCTACCAAATGAGGTCGCCATTGCAGGGATTGTGAAGTAGCTGTGGCTGCTGTTAGCAATAATAATGTCAATAGAACTGCTTCAATATTTGCATTTAAATTTGTTTCTCTTGCTGGTTCCAATAATTTCAAACACTTGGATAAATATGCCCCATATGCTCGTTCATCCTCGGGACGTTTATACTTTAAAAAACAAGTGTTTGCACCCTCAGCGAGTATTGCTGCTAATAAAAAGGGTTCATTGGCAGCAGTGTGTAAAATAATATCTCTAGCCGGGTTTGAAGTGGTTTTAGTTCTCGAATGGTATGCCTGGAATGGTTCAATGATTTGAGCAAAATTATTATAGAATTCTTCCCAGTATAATTGTTCATGTTTTCGGGGTAATTTTATATAGTCTATGGGTATATTTTTCGTTATTTCATCCACCACAAATGAATCATTCAAGAAATCAAATTGGAAATCATCTTGCAAGAATGGAATATTTGATCCCTCCATAATATCTGTCACCAAATTGTTTAAATCCGTAGTTAAACTACTTAAATCTGTTCCACTTAAAAAATCATTGCTATTAATCAAGTTTTCGATATGTAATGGAGATTGTTTGGATAGACTTGGCGATACAGGTGGGACTTTGATGCGTTTCGGAATGTCATATTGAACAGGTAAAAATTGTGTTGATTTCCCCATATTTTCAACCTCTTCTTTAATCAAACGTCTTGATATTCTTAGTACCTTCTCCCCTGCCAATGGGTACGAGCATTGCTTCCCTAATCTGACACAAGTGGAACAGAAAGGCTTTTCTTCTGGACATCGTATCTTTCTTCTCTTACATTCTCGACACCCATTTCGACTGTAGCTCTTTCTAATACGTTTTGGGCCAGGACCCTGGGTAACAGTTGTTGAATTTGGAGTAGGACCTGGAGTTGAAGATGACGAAGGTGGTCCCAGTGTTGGTGTTTGAGTCGGAGTTGAAGTCACAGATGAATTGGCGGACATGATTCAGTGGTAATACCCAGTTATCCACAAATCCGATAACGGTCAGATCAATTATGAACAAGAAATTTAAAGTGCAAATCTAAAGCAAAAAAAAGAAAAGAAAAGAAAGAGAAAGTCAAATGAGAAAACGGAAATAGGGAAAAGAGAAAACGGGGGAAACAGGAAACAGGAAACAGGGGGAAAAAAAAAAAAGTAAACAAAAATGGAATTAAGTCCTTTTGTTTCTCCGTAATCATTCTCCACAACTCAGTGTTTACAAGGGTGTGCAATTCATACACCAATCAAGCAATATCCAGGATGCCAATTAGCCATTACATCAAACAGTTCCAAGATACTTTACTACTATTTTTCCAAGACTTGGTGATAAGATTATGCACAATACTTGACGAAGTTCCTTTACTACATGAGGACAGACACAAAGCCGCTTCCGTGGAGTTGATATCTTCATATAACACGACTCATGAGTTTGAAAGTAATAATTTTGTAGAAGAAGGGAATACATCTTCAGCAGATTTGATTTCTATCTGGATATTTGTGGCAACGTGTACATTGGGTATTTTGATATTGAAAAGGGGATTGGATTTTATTCGAGGAGTTTTGTCAAGCAGTAATCCTAACAGTTCGGTAAGAGATAGTGTTAAAAACCAAAACTCAAAGAGACCAAGCACTTCTTCGATTTATTATGATCTACCTTCAAATTTGGGGCCATATTCAAAACAAAGCTCGCCTGTTAAAAGTAAACATTTCATGGAGACCTACAAAGGCAAAGGTCCTGTTTCGTTTCTATTGGACACTACAACAGGATCAACAATGGACGTCGAGCTGGTGAGTATAGAAGGGAATCGTTGGACTTAATTGTAGTGCTTGTGTGTAGTAATTATATGGATGAAACTATTCTGAGCTCGATGTAAGAAGACAGATAATCATTTGGTGTGATATAATTAACAATAAAATCTTTTACTATATTCTCGATGGTCTAGATATAGAACTTCTAAGTATGGTGTAAATTTGAATTGTCAATTGATGTGAGGTTAAATCTATATGCAAAAGTATAACATTTGGCTGTGAATTGTATCTGCAATCTTAACAACAAAGAAAATAAATCCGTATTATGTTTGTGTGTTCTTTTTCGGATCAAATGATCATGAACTTGAGGAATATGTGTACAACCTAAGTAGATATCGTAACCTAATCAGACAGTTTAAGTTGAACCGAAGACATCAACAAACGGTTCATTCAATTAGAAGGTAAGTGTAATATTAGTAAGCAGTGCAAATTGAACAAATCAATTCTCTTAGAGTCGTTATAACCTTCCCAGTCTCATAACAAGATCATGCATTTATTTGATTTTGTGAATTAGGATTTGTGCTTTAAAACAAGGCTCATGTGTAAGAAAGAATATAACCAACTGATTGTTTGGGAAGTTTGTCAGGCAAAGTTATAATGTATCATTGTGGGTTTATTCGAAACTCGATAGATTGTCCGGAAAACAGATTGGTAAAGGAACTGGGAAACCCTTTGTTTGCAGGTAGTAATTATATTGCCGATTCTATTTGGAATCCCGTTCCGAAATATAAAACCGAAACCAAATAGGAAGGACGCGTCATACACAAAATATGAGTGCAAGATCGTGTCCCCAAAATCAACATCACAATCAACATCACAATCAAAACCACACAAACTGAACTGATTCACGTAGAACACATTCTCTTTTCTGCAATGCATTATTGAGGTAACAAAAATGTTAGGAACATCATCATTTTTGGCTTAAAAATGCTTATAATGAGGTGGGACATTGATGAAACAAAGAATTCGCCCAACCATTCGTGTAATTGTTATTGTTAATACGATATTATTTCTCGAAGGGTCGGTCGAGTACCTTAAAAAAAAAAAAAAAGATAGTCACATGTGAGTATTGAATATTATTAGATGGTTATCTTGGACAATATGAGACTGTTTGATATTTAAGTTATACAGTTTTGAAGAAGCTTAAGTTAATACAATACTTCCCTCTGAAATAGGCTAAATTCTGTAGGAGCTTATGTAATGTAGGACAAAAATAGTCATAATCAAAATAGTACCGCGACACGCACACACGCACACACACACGCCTCGTGGGACACGACCTGACTAACGACCGAATGAAAAAAAAAAAAAAAAAATTTTTCTTTATACTCATACTCACACAGTGAATTCTATTCACTCTCAATCTCAGTTACACTAACATTAATATTAACACAATGTGTATGTTACTATGTGATTTTATTGTTTCATTTGAATTTAAATTTCATTTATCAAAAAGTTTACATTATGTAGAAAGATTTCATGCGCAGTAGAGTACAGTACAATAATAATAATAATCCCATCTTTCGTTCTCTTTCAGGTTTTTTTTTTTGTTTTTTTTTTTGTTTTTCTTCTTTCACTCTTTGATTGAATTCAAATAATTTTTTATATTTTTTTGTATTCTTCTTCTTCTTCTTCTTCTTTGAATTACTTATTATTCGAAAACTATTCAGTTGCTACCTTGTGCAATTAATAAGGTTTATTTATTATTATTAGTAGTAGTATTTCATTGGAGTCTTCAGGTAATCCCACGGATCTATTTTTATATTCTTTCCTTCAACGCTACAGAAGAAAAATTCACCATCACCAAAGAGATTTCAGTTGAGATTACGAACTTGTTGCAATTCCTTGAAAACTAATCACCATTACCATTATAGTCATTCGTTTTATTTGAGTTAATACCCAGCAGTTTGTTTTCATTCGTTTACTTATTCAATCAATAAATCAACAGCTCCTCCCCTCAACTATGCCGATCTACCAAAGAAGAGGAACACCCACGATTGAGATTCGTGCGTCAAAATCATCCGATGATGATTCAGATAGTTCATCATCAGATTACTGTAAAAATAATCCCAAAGCAGATCAATGTGAGAAACCCGTTAGTGATAATAGTGTTACCATTGCCTTGTCTATTGTATTACCTTGTCTTGCTATATTTTGTGTTCTTGGATATTTCCTTTATAGAAATTATAGAAAGGATAAAAAAGAAAGTATGGAACATGATCCTGATTTTGATGAAAATGGCGAAGCCACTGCTTTGCCAGATTACCCACAGATTAAGTCATATCAAGAAAACCCATTTGATAATAGAAACTCAATTAGATACCCAATGGATAATGTAAGTACTCATCAATTTGGTCAACAACAACATCAACAAAAACGAGATCCATATTTGGACAGTTTTGTTTTACCATATCAACATCAAACTGGATCCAAATTATCTTTAGATGACTATGCAAGAAACCTTGGTGATCTGCAAGGTTATCAAACCCCTTCTAATATCCTTGGCAGATCAAGATCGAATTCCATGCATCTTGATCAAAAATCTTCTTCCGGATTAAATGCTCCTACTCATTCAAGAAAACCATCATCTGCAAAAAGTCCAACAAAGAAAAAAGATGGTAAACAATATACTAATATCCCTAATGAATCTGTACCTAATTTTGCTGTTGAATCTAATCAAGTTGTATCTGGTGGTGGATTCAATGAACATGATGAGCCTTCATCATCATCTTCTTCTTCTTCTTCTTCTGCCACCCCAACTGTTCCAGAGGAAAAATTTGCTACTAAATATGAAATGGAAACTGAATCAGAATCATCAATGAACAAGTCAGGTATTCCACAAATAGTGGTAAGTGAAAACAAAGTGGAAGATTCATCTCCATCTCCATTTGATGACGAACACGAACATGCCACTACTGCTACAGAAACCACAGTTGATACTATTCCCAATGATGACCATGATGATGATGATGACGATGATGACGATGATTATGAATATAATAATCGTGATGATGATGAAATTCATTTTAGCACAAAGAGTAAACAAGTATCTTCTAGACCTAAATCTCCCAGAATTTCTGCATTTAATTTATTGAAAAACGAAAGTGATGATGAAGATGACAATGGTCATGGCGAAAATGATGATGACGATGATGACGAAATGAATGAATTGAGTCCAGAACAAAAAGAAGAGATTAGACGTATGAAATCTGTTTACAAGGTTTATTTTGATAATGATGCAGCTCCACAACAACCTCGACAATATGAAGTTGATGGTAATCACCCACCAGTGCCAGTCGATAAGATCAATAATGAATTAAAAATGGATACAGATTATGAGAAAAGAATTAGTACTGCTTCTTCGGTATATAATGATGCAGAAGATGTTGAGCATCATCAACAATACTATTACGATCAATTCAATCAACAATATCAACAACAATTTGGTTCACCAGTGGATCCAAACTTTTATCATCAATTCCAACAACAACAATATTACAACTATTATCAACATGAACAACAGAGACGTATACAACAAGCTAAGAAACCATTACCTGCATTACAAAAATTACCTAACCCAGCTGATTTCAGAAAATCTACTTTACAAACTTATACCAATTTCAAACCAAATTTAAAGAACCAACCATCAAGTTCAGGAAAACAACCATTTATTCCAATTGAAAATGATGGTGTCTGGTCATCGCCTATTAATTCTCCATCTATTCAATCCCAAGCATCATTCCCACTGCAAAACCACAACCAACAGAGAAATATTTCTGATAGTTATTTCCCAGAGCAAGAACCTGTACAACATAATGTTCCTTCTGCTACCCAATTATCTAGATCATCTGTGGTTATGTTGAATCCAGTAACGGAAATCACCAAACAAAGGAAATTCAAACCTGCTGGTTCTGTACCACATAGTTATCAACCACAACAATATGGACAAAGCGAATTGAATGGACCTGAAAATGATTTAATTCCTGGAAGTAGGAAAAGTGATGTTAGAAGAATGATGAATACCAATTTCTAGAATTTGTACTATAAAAGAAAAATAGACTTGTGAAATATATGTAAATTGAAAATCAGAAACGCGTTAACAATAGATCTATTAATTATAAATTATATACCAATGTAAAATAACATATGAAAGTAAAAAAAAAAAAAAAGAAAATGAAAGTTGTCGTAATGATAAATAATCAAGTTAATACAGAATTAGTTTCTTTTTTAATGGCAATTATTTGATTAGCAAGTTGATTAGGATCAACACCTTCATCTAATAATTTAACACATAATTGTAATACAGTATCATCTAATTCAATACAATTCATTAATCTAGCTAATTCAGATATCATAACATTTGGATCAAGCAGCATTATGGTTATATTATTATCATCAAGTATACTACAATGATGAAAAAACAAATCAATCAAAATAGAAAAACAAAAAAAATTTCTTTTGGAAAATCAAAACACGTCTAATTGAAAATAAATCAACAACAACAACACAACTGAATAAGATCTCTCTTTTTTTTTGTTTAGAATACTTTCGATAACAATCTCTATAGTCTGTTTTTGACTTCTAATTCAAGTTCAAGTTGATTAATGCATAAATGGGTAAACAAGAACAACAACAATAAAAAAAAATTGACAAAAAAAATAAATGGGGCAAACGGGGAATTGAACCCCGGGCCTCCTCGAATTTTATGTTTAAGTTGTTAAACCCAAACAAGGAATCATACCACTAGACCATTCGCCCTTTTCGATGGATGTGCTAGATTGACTACTAGCCCAGATGTGTTTTACATATTTCATGATTCTTTTGAATAATTTTAGATATGTTTCCTAATATTACAGTGGTTTCTTGAGATATATTTCAATCTCATATAGATATTCGTTAGTTTATATTATTATTATTATTATTATTATCTGTATTTATAAGGTAATTTATATTAATTATGTAGTTTTCTTCTTCCATTATATCCAGTAGATGAACCATCAATTTTTCTTTTATTCATTCTAGTATTCTTCTCTTTAGCTATATTTTCAATCGTTTTTGAAAGTTCAGAGTTTTCTTGTTCAATTCGATGTAGTTCATTTTCCAATTTTTGTTCAACATCTTCATCATCATCATCTTCTTCTTCTTCTACTTCTTGATCTTCTTGCTTATTATTATTTAATTCTTGTTCTAATTTTCTAGGATCCCATGAAGGATTATTAATTGCATCAAGGGTAAAATCAGTTTGTGACATTATATCAGTCCATTTATTCATTAAAATTCTTGAATTTGTAGTTGAATTACAAATCAGATTTAAATCATGATTAACTTTTTGAATAGTTTGATGAAAATTTAATAAAATATTATTTATATTTGTAATTTGAGATAATTCTCTTTCTAAAGCAACTGTTGATATTGTAGTTGATGATTGATTCGTTGTTGACATTCTGATACGATCAACGTTTATATTGTCTTGTTTTGTTTTATTTGGTGTTTCTTTGTTTTGATTTCAGTGTTGATTTTGATTTTGAATTTTTCTTTTTTTTTTTTTTTCTTTCTTTGGACCGAGTGGTTTGAATATCTCTGATAGTAAGAAATCTTAAAATGTAATTACCTCCTATTTTAAAAATAAGAGAATTTCATGGATCAAATGGATGATATGATTTCATTTCGTAATCAATTGGGTATATTTGTAGTTGTCAGAAGGAGTTTGTTAGTTGAATTTTATATCCAAGGATTTTATATTTTCAGGATAATTTGGTAATGAAATTTCACCAAATATTAGAGATAAACCTTATTTGAAAAAGAACAAACAAACGTGGGGTATTATTTGATTAGAATTGGGGTTATTGCGGATCTTCAGATTTACTCCTTTTGTTCTTTTTGGATTTATTTAATCTTTTGGTCAAAATTTCATCTTATTCAGCCTTATGTAATCCGAAAGTTCCTGGTCTGTTAAAAAAAAAGTCGTAATTCAATTGGTGATAAATTCCAAATCTCTCTGTTGATGATGATAATAGCCTTCTTGCATCGCAACAACAGACAACAGAAAAAAAAAAAAAAATGCACACGAAAAAAAAAAGTGACAACCAATTGAGTTTCATCAACGAAATATCATGACAACTGAACCAGTGGATCAACAACAACAACAATATACTAATCTAATTAATTCATTACCAAGTAGATGGGAAATAGAACTTGAATTTGTTCAATCTTTAAGTAATATACCTTATGTGAATTATCTTGCTCAGAATAATTATTTAAATGATGAAAGTTTTGTAAATTATTTGAATTATTTACAATATTGGACAGAACCTCAATATGCTAAATTTTTAGTTTATCCAAATTGTCTACACATTTTAAAATTATTACAGGATGAAAATTTTCGTAAGAATATTATCAATCAAGAATTTATGAACAATTTAATGAATGATATGGTTAAACGATGGCAAAATAATGAACCGTCGGAACAACAAGCTCAACAAGCTCAAACAAACGAGGAGGAACGAGAGAAGAATCAAGTTCAACAACAAGTTCCAATTGAAAATGGTGGAATGTAATGATGATACAGTTATCTGAAGGTCAGAACCATGCAAATGGGGATCCCCACCACCCTAATAGGTTTTGTACATCCATACTCTAGCTCCTACTTGTTGTAGAATGATCAATATACGAGTTGTTGGTTGATGATGATGATAAAAAAAAATCACACCTGAATCCGAAACCTCCTCTTTTATTTTGTATACATAATCCTTGCAGAATCAATTGGACGCTTATGTAAGCAAGAAGCTTGGATTTCTTTCGTTGGTATATGATTGTTATTGGGACTAACTGACTGGCTGGTTCAATTGGTAATTTGAAATTAAAAGTTGTGGCGAAGTACATGTAATCGTTTGAGTATAGTTTGTCCAAATGGTCATGTTTAACCAAATTTTAGTGGTGAAACTAATTTATTATCACCATGAGCTAAAAATATACTTATAGAGCAGCATGATAAATGTGGGGTGTTTATAATGAAACCTTTGATAGTTTAAAAATTGCAAAACGGGTTTAACATTTCAGCCGCGAGACAAGACCGATTAACGCCGAGACGAAACATTTATAAGTATCTATTTATTAGGTTCCAATCAGTGCTTAATATCACGTATAATTACTGGAGGTGATGTCTTATCTAAATGTATAGAGCATACCGATTACCGGACACCCGAGTAAAGTTTAGTTGCAAAATGTGAAGTTATATCAGGCGGTTATTGATGATGATTAAGCCCTGATGAAGTGGTTACTGTTCTTTGAAAAAAAGTTGCTGTTTTACAATAGGACGAACGGCGTAGTAGATCTATCTACGTCATACATTGAAAACAATTAAACTGAAATTCGAATCTAGGCAAATTCCGGAATGCAAAGAGATGAACAAGAAGAAGATGAAGAAGAAGAAGAAGAAAAAAATAACGAGTAAGCAATTATAAGAAATCTGGTAGAATAAGGGGTCATCGGCGATAGTGGGAAAAAGGGGGAAGGAGGAGGAGAGGAGAGGAGGAGTAAAGGGGAGATCTTACCAAGGAAGTTCTATTTTGCATTAATTGTACTTGTAAATCTTGATTTCCTATTTGCTCTATGTGTGTGTGTATGTATATATGTGTATATATGAGCGTGGGTATGAGACAGAGAGTAAGATAAAGTAAGTTTAAGTGTCACTGAGTGAGTAGTGTATAATTGTCGATGATCTTGTTGTTGCTATTACAATTTATTCCTCATCCCGTATATTCCGATCTAAAATGTGAAGGACAAGAATTTTTTTTAACAACAATAAAACAGGCGCAAAAAAAGATGAAGAACAATCAAGAAGAAGAAGAACAACAACAACAACAACAAGAAGAAGAAGAATAAGAAAAAAAATCACTCATTCTTTCTTACTAATTCATTCATTTATTAAGTAAGTAAGTAAAGTCAGTTAAAGTTGCAGACCGATGAGACTAGGAATTTGTGTAATCATCTGATTTCCGTGTACACTCTAATAATCCAGCCCGGTGGGCCACAAGTAATTTTCCCTTAAGCTAACCTACATACCGTAATTAAAACCAATTTACACATCACGTCACAAAACATTATACTATTCGTCACCAATAACCCTAATCACTACCAACTACTACTACTACAACAACAACAAACAAAAATGAAACTACAACGTCAACTTCTCCCTGGTTCGGTCATATACCCGTGAAGCCGTCTATTCTTTCAGTTTCGTACTTTTTATACTTTTGAAACATCCACATTCTTCTTCTTCTTCTAAAGAAAAAAAGAAATAACCGAAGGGAAAAGGAAATAGGACGGTATAGTATGGAGAAAATGTGTTTATTTTTAATTGGGCTTAGCTCTATATATTTTGTTTAGGCGGAGTCAATTTATAAGCCTCTGTTGTATTTCTTCCGTGGATCTATTGCTCTTTTCATCTTTAAATCTCGCACGGTATCTGTGTGTTTTATGATATCTGCTTAGAAGGAGAAAACGTACATGAAGGAGCGATCAGTTGACTTAACATGTATTCAGAATATCATTCTAGGTTTATTAACGAGTTTCTAGTAAAACAATAAAACTCATGTCACCTTGTTACTTTCTTGGAATTTCCACATCTAGGTCAGGTCGGTTATAACTCTGGAAATAGTAAAAAAGAAAAAAACGGCTTGAGCCGATTTGTCACTTGAATCTCACCCACTCTTGATTCTACAACTTTTCATTGTCCCCCCTCCTCCTCCTCTCCTTTAACCTATGTTATGAATGTGTAAAACACGTAACTGTAGCTATGAACACCGATTACGTAACTGCCGAATAGGAAAGTAGTAAGAAATAGAGGATTTTCCTGATGCACGGTTTTTAACAAGCGTCCTTCTAAATTAAGTTACACATGGTCAAACAAACTTGAGAGAGAGAGCGAGAGAAAGGGAAAGCATTCACGCACAATGTTTTAAATTGCAAAATGCAAAAATTGTTTAGATTTTGCGTGATAATAGTTTGTAGCACTAAAACTGTTTGTTCTATTTTGCATAATGGTTAGTAATATCCTCTCTTACAAATAGATACCGTCAGCACTAATGTCACTACTACTATTACTACTACTACTACAAATGGAATAATAATAGAAAAAAAAGAAACACATGGTTAAAACAAGGGAATGCAAGCAACAACAACAATAACAACAACTACCTTATGACAAAAGAAACTGATCTAAAAAAAAAGACAAAGTATATATGGGAATCTGTATTTTTAGTATTTTTCATTAGTCATATAAATAGATATTAGAATTTCCAATTCTTCATTTAATATGAACTTCCTTCTTTCTTCTTTTTTTGTAAAGATTTTTCTTTGAGTTTCTAATTCTACCTAATTATTGCATTATTTATTCATCTATTTATTTATTATTAACTTTTCCATTCCTAATAAACTTCATTTCCTTATACTCATCACTTCTCATCATCACTTTGTTCATCTGCCCCTCCATATTAATTGCAACATAAGGTTTTGCCAGTTTTCCCTTTTTTTTTTTTTCCTCACTACAATTTTGTACTACCGCACACATAAGCTTAGTTACTACCAACCCTTAACTCAGCTTTTTTCTATTACAACTATTACGGCACTTCCGCATAGCCATATAAATATTTAAATACACCCTGTTTCACCATTTTCACACCAAGTTGGTTTCCTTCGATTTCATACATATATATAGACACAATCTACAATGACACATGAAAAACTAGAAAGTGATTATGAAGATACTACATCTACTTCAAACAAAACAAAACCTAGCAACAAATTTGTTGCAAATTTTCAATCATTATTTAAAGATCTTCGTCCTCCAAGAATAAAATGGTTTATAAGTCCAATAGCAGTTGTTATTTATTCAACCATCTTTAATGTTGTCGATCAAATATTATTTGCTAAATTTACAAGACAATTCCACATGGCTAATCCTATAGATATAATTTTTTTGTTTTTAGACTTGTTTATCTTTTTGGTGGTTATTTACGAACAAAATTATTATGATGAAGACACAGCGTTTAAAAACAAGTATCATCAAGTTGCTCATTTCATTGTGGTGAAAATATTAAAGAAGCTTCTTTGGTTGGTTTTGTTAGCTGCTTGTATTGTTCAAGTGGTTATTATATCACAAGGGAAATTATCAAATCCTTTAAATATAAGTGATTCCTATATGGATAGCTTGAATATGACTTCCAATGAAAGAGCTGGTTATTTTATCATCACTTTGATTAGTTTGATTTGTAATGGTGCTTTATTGGGTATTTGGTGGTCAACAAATATTTCATCAGTTTATTTATTATACGCTTCAGTTAATCTCATTACTGTGTTGATCAGTGTTAGTATTGTTCAAATCAATATTAGTTATATTAACACTACGGGTGGATCGGCTAGAAAATTACATAATTTATTTATTTTAACCGGTACTTTTATGGCTTGTCAATCTGGCATTGGTTTATGCATAGTTTTATTGATTAACGAAAAGAATCGACTTAAGGACTTTATTGGTAAGATTATTTTCTTTTATGATGCCTATGTGATTATTTTATTCAGTTTACTTTTAGCCTGTACCATTGTTAGTGGGATTTATTATGATTATAAAGCACTGTTTCCAATTAGTATATTTGTCTTGTTTTTATGTTCATGTATTTGTTCAGTGGTGGCATTTTTCTGCACTCGTTATTTCCGTTTAAGGGGTGGTGGTTTCACTAAAGATTATGAAGTTGAAGAATATGATTTGCTTAGTTTAACTCCTCATCAAAAACAAGGATGGGGTAAATTAATTGATCTCAACAATAAGCATAATGGTGGTATTTCCGGTGACTATGTAATCTCATTAATGGAAAACTACATGAAGGCTGAACTAGATGGTATGACTTGCAAAGTATTACGTGTCTACAAAAAGGATGACAGCAGCAACAACAATAATAATAATAACAACAACAACAATAGCCATAACAACCATAACAATCACAATAATAGTAATAATAATAGTAATAATAATAATAACGGTCAAGCAAATAAACAAGCATCGAGATCATCGAAACATTTGAATGCTGCATTTGATATTTTAGATCATGAATCGGTTTTGTTTCTGGATACACCAACTTTAACAGAAGAAACTTCCATTAGAGATGAATATCGTCCATTATCAAAAAACCAATTGAAAAGATTGGCTAAAAAGAATCAAAAGGAAAAGAAAAAGATGGAGATGAAATCTTTGGAAAATAACACCGAAAAATTTTATCAAGAATTGATGAATACAGAAGCATTAGTTTTATTGACGATTGTTGAAGAATTTGATTTAACTGAAAGAATACCGGGTTGGTTTGGTAAGAAATTGAATAAACATTTTGGTAAAAATTCTCGATTCCCATGGTTGTGTATTAGATTTGGATTATTAGGTTTCCATTGGCCATTTAAAAGAGCTACATTTTATTGTAGTTCTACTAAGAAACCCGTTGCTAGAGGAGCTGCAGTTTTATATGCTATTTCCAAATGGAATGAAAAGAATGAAAAATTGACTGTTTTATTGGATCCAACTTATAAAGATGTTAATTTTGAAGCTGGTATTACATCAAGTGGATGGTATAAGATTAATTTGCCTAATTCGCATATTATCGATTTAAGACCATTTAAGAATCAAACCAGTACTGAGTATTTCAAAGCTATTAAATATAGAAATCAAGAGAATAGTTTTAAACAAGCAAAAGGTCAAGTTATTGAAACCAATATTTTCAATTATGAGAATTGTCAAGAGATTATAACCATGAATCAAAATATTGCAAATAACCGACAACTGTCTGGACAATCGTCGCAATTATTAGAACCAGATTGGCAATTTATATATAATTTGGGAAATTGTACCAATGAGAAGAAGTACCGTTCGTTGTTATTTTTGAAAGTTGATGACCAAATCATTGCATCTTGTGTTATTTTTAGATTGGGAGATACCATGACATCGGATATTCAAGGGTTAGATCATGCCATCAGTAAACAATACAAAGCCTATTTTGTTATGATGCAAGAGGTTATTAAAATAGGGTTAAGAGAAGGAGTCAAGTTTATTGATTTTGGACCAACCACCGAAGACGCAAAAGTGACTATTGGTTGCAATGTTGTTCCATTATGTGGGTCAATTTATCCGAATAAGAAATGCTTAGGACCAATTATTAAATTTGCTGCAAGTAAAGTTGACGTATAGAGAATATAATTGATAGAAAACAACAACAACAACAATAATAATAATAATAATAAAACCACGATTTAATGATGACGAATTATATAAATAATATATATATATATAAATAATATATATAAATGTATAAATAAGTGATAGAAATCATTCCCTGGTGTATTAACCAAAAAATGGTTGTGTGTGTGTGTGTGTATTGGGCAAATTCACCTCTTTCACACGACTATGATGGTTGTGTAGAATTGGACGTGGTGGAGGGAGGGAGGGAGGAGGACCTAGAACGTCATTTTGTTGGACCTAAAAAAAAAAAAAAATTAAATTTCCGTTGGCAAATTTGCCTTTACAAGAATAAAAAATAGGAAAGAAAAAGACCTAACATTTAATCTACTGGTTAACTGAATTGAATATCAATAACATGTCAGTTGTATATGATCAACATTATAAGAAAATCATGGGGGTATTTAAAACGATAGAAACGAAACTTAAACTTAAACCTGGAGAATTTATATTTGTTTTATCATTTATATTGAATTTTTTAATTGGTAGAATTATTCATTTTACATCACCTGAAGAAGAAATTTATAATTATTATAGTAATAAAAAGAATATATTTAATAAATTATTTGTTAAACAAGGTTGGGGATGGACTACATTAGTTATATTAATATTTTATTCCAATTTAATTTATAAAACAAGTAATTATTCAATAAGACAAAAATTAATTTATAAAGGAATTTTGAATTATTTATTAAGTACATTATGGTGGATTTTATTTACTCAATGGTGTTTTGGATTACCTATAATGGATAAAATTTTTATTTGGACAGGAGGTAAATGTAAAATTGAAGGAATTGAAATTAAAAATATTAATCATTTACATAATAGTTTTATTCAAACATTAGAAAATATTTGGGAATCTACTGGTATAACATCATATACTTGTAGAAAATTTAAAGGTAATTGGATTGGTGGTCATGATCCTCTGGGTCATGTATTTTTAATGATTCATTCATCTTTATATTTATATTTAGAAACTATTGATTATTTTCCAGGTTTTTCAAATATTAAAAATAATTTAAAAAGATTAGTAAGAGTTAATTCATTTAAAGAAAAATTAATTATTCTTTGGAATACTCCCCTGATTTTCATTAGTTTATTAATTGGTTTATGGTGGTTTATGTTGTTGATAACTAATATGTATTTTCATCTGATTTTGGAAAAATTGGTTGGATTGATATTTGGATATTTGGGAATTGCGGTAATATACTATTTACCTAGATGGAGATAAAATAGGACACCACATAACAAGTGTATATATATATATATTTTAAATTTTAATAGAATAGACGTTGAGGGTTATATGTAATTAATATTTCTTCTTAGACAAGTCACGTGAATAAACCAGTCACATGATAAATAACTCACGTGAGAAACACACGATTAGAAATTTTTTTTTTTCTCCCCACATAGACGAGAGAGAGTTGAGAACACGACGAATGGGCTTGATTAAACTTCTGACGAGAGAGAAAGAGAGAGAGAGAGAGAGAGAGAGAGAGGTTAAAACAATGATGAAGAAAGTCATTGTTCTTATACTAGACGAGAATTAGAATATAAAATATATGAAACAAATCGATTGCGTTTTTAAAGTAAGGGGGGTACGTTGTTCGTCTAGGAAGGTAGGAGAGAGAGTTCAATGACTTTATATGCAATATAAAGCCATTAATGTATGCACTGATTGGATTGATCTAGATTCAAGAAGACATAAACCACATACAAAAAAAAAAAATGAAATGGTCAAGTAGAAGGAGAGTTGAGGTTATGGAAATGATGAAAAAAGAATGTTGTAAGAAGTAGTAATTTACCCCAATTAGGAAATAATCCCTCTGCTAACTATAGTAGTAGTAGGTACTAAATGAAAATGAAATTTTAGATTGTCAAAAGGGTTAATAATTTCCAAAATGAGTTTCTATTATTTTTATTTTTGCAACTTTTGTGACAAAGTTTAGAAAACGCGACGAGCAAACGAAAAAATAATTATTATTTCTTATTTGACGCGAATGTCGTCACATAATGTAAGCGCAGTATACACGACATTATGCTGCACGACATTTCACAGGAAACACGAAGTTTTTTTTTTTTGAGTTTTATTATTATTATTACACAAACACCAAAAAAAGAACAACAACAACAACAACTTTGTAGACTTTGTTGCATTTCATACACGCCGTATATGATATGATATATCACATCACATTATCATTATCATCATCGTGTTAAATTGTGTGGTTTATTTTTACCCCTTTTAAGAATTGCATTGTAATGTTTTGTGTGTGTGTGTGTGTGTGTGTGTGTGTGCGTATTAATTGTTTATTTGTTTATTCTTGTTCCAAAGGGTTGAACTGTAATTAATTAACTTACAATATTAAATAGTGTGGGTACGGCAAGTGTGTGTAGTAATATATTCTCGTCTTTATTTTTTGTTTGTTTGTTTCTTTGTGTGGTTAACCCTTTCGTGTAATCCACGCATAAAATTCTTCACCTGCCTGTTCAACCATCAGGCACATATAGACTGTCTTTGTCTTCTACAACACATACTTGGTAAAAATTTTCTTTTAACATTTCCAACATCATCTTCATCTTCATCAACTACTCTTTCTTCCTTCTAGTTGTACTTGCATTGCAGAGAATTGTTTACACTTCTTCAACATCATCATCAACAACATCATCACCACCTAACAACACATCAAAGTCATCATTACCACCTCATCCTCCTTCTCCTCCTCTTCTAATTACCTACTACATTATACCAACAATCATTTTCTATATTTAATTTAATTGTATTTTATTATCATCGTCATCTATTTACCCATTCTTGCCCTATTAGTTTTGAAGAAAGACAATCATCATCACCACCACCACCACTACTATTACTACTACTACTACAATGTTATACTCAATTATTCTACTAATATCATTATTCTTACAATTGATAAATGCTTCCATATATATGGGGTTCCCGTTTAATGAACAACTACCAAATGTCGGACGAGTAAACGAAGATTATACATTCACTATTGCCAATACAACTTATAAATCCAATAGTCATGGAGAAATCTCTTATGAAGTTGAAAACTTACCATCTTGGTTATCATTTGATTCTTCAAGTAGAACATTTTCTGGTAAACCTGAAGAATCTGATGTTGGTGAATTTGAAATTACTTTAACAGGTACTGATTCAAGTGATGGATCTCAATTAACTAATAGTTATTCCATGATTGTATCTAATGATACTGGATTATATTTAACTTCAGAGAAAAATTTATTCAATGAGTTAGCTCAAACTGGACAAACTAATGGTGTTGATGGTTTAGTTGTTAAACCTGGTGATACTATTAAAATCCAATTTAATAAGAATCTTTTTGAAAGTTATTCATCAAGTGATCGTCCTATTATTGCTTATTATGGTAGATCTGTTGATCGTAGTTCTTTACCAAATTGGTTATCTTTTGATGGTGATGATCTTACTTTTACTGGTACTGTTCCTTATGTAACTTCAGAAAATGCTCCTTCATTTGAATATGGTTTTACTTTTATTGCTTCTGATTATTATGGTTATGCTGGAGCTCAAGGGGATTTTAAAATTATTGTTGGTGGTCATCAATTGAGTACTTCAATTAATCAAACTACAACTATCAATGGTACTGTTGATACTGAATTCGATGAAATTGTTCCTATTTTATCAGATGTTTATCTTGATGGACTGGTTATTACTCGTGAGAATATTTCAGATGTTACTGTTGATGGTTTACCAGATTATATTCAATTTAATAATGATGATTATACTTTAACAGGTACTTTCCCAAACTCAACCACAAATGATAGTTTCACAGTTGTTGTTCAAGACATTTATGGAAACTCAGTTGAATTACCTTATATTTTTGATGTCATTGATTCTATTTTCACCACTGATTCTATTAAAGATGTTAATGCTACAAAAGGAGAATATTTCCAATATCAAATTTTGGATTCTTTATTCACAAATATTGATGACACACAAGTTACTGTTGATTACGATTCAGATTGGTTAGATTATCATGAATCCAACATGACATTTACTGGTGAAACTCCAAAGAGCTTTGACAAGTTGAATGTTAAAATTAATGCTGAATCAAATTCACAAACTGAATCAAGAAGTTTCCAAATTAAAGGTGTTGACAGAGACGAAACAACATCTAGTTCTTCCTCTTCTTCTTCTTCTACTACTACTTCATCAAGTTCAACTTCGAGTGCTACTGAAGCTACAACCACTTCCGCTGAAGCTACTAGCTCTTCATCAACAACAGCAGCAGCAGCTACTAGTCACAAGAAATCTACAAATACCAAAGCTTTGGCTATTGGACTTGGTGTTGGTATTCCAGCATTCTTGATTCTCCTTACTGCTTTGATATTATTATGTTGCTGTATCAAAAGAAGAAAGAACAAAGATTCTAATGATAATAATAATTCTAATAATGATGATCATGAAAAGGAATTTATTCCTAGAGGAAACAAAACTACTGTTTCACCAACGGGAATCCCAGCAATTAATTCAGAAGAATCATTAGTTAAGGATAAATCGGAAATGAATGTTATGAAACTTGAACATATTAATAGATCACATTCATCATCTTCATTAACTCAAGTTGAATCATCAAGTGCTGATTCATTCTATGATGCTAATGAAAATGCCCCAATTGTTAAATCATGGCGTGCTAATATTGAATCAGATAATAAATTAGCTCGTGCTAGTGATGCATCTTTATCTACTGTTAATACTGAACATTTATTCCTGATTAGATTAGTTGATGATTATTCAGCAAGAAATTCAGAAAGTTCTTCCAAATTTGTTAGTAATAATTCACTTAATGCTTTATTACGTCGTGAATCATTATCTTCAAATTTCCAAAGATTAGACAGTAGTGGTAATATTGTTGATAATCTTAACCAGAATAATAATAATAACAACAACAATCATAGTAATCGATCATCACAATCAGAGAAATATCTACCACAAGTATCATCATCAAATTTGGATATTGTTCCAGAAGAAAATTCACGAGAATTGAAACAAACAGGTAAAGATGAAACTAGTGGTACTATAAGTCATTTACTTTCTAAATTTAATGATAATACATCTTCAGAAGATGGTGAATTTGATGAACCTGAACCAACTCCAGTTGATGATAGATTACCATCACCAAATTATGCATTGGATTCATCTAAATTAGGTAAATATGATTCACCATCAAGTGAAAAATTCTTATTAAATGGAGATGATAATGAAAAAACACCAATTAATAATAATGGAGGTCCAACTATGAAACATCAAAATCTTTCAGCTATTTCATTAGGTTCATTAACTTCAGATAAATTATTCTTTGTTGATAATAGTTCAAGTTCAAATAATACTACTAATAGTAACAACAACAACAATATGAATACTAAACCAACACCTCCAAATAGTATGAATATTGGTAAATCAGCTAAATTAGTTGATTTTACAAGAAAAGGAAGTTTAAGAGAATCAGCTTATGAACCTGATTATGTTTATAAAGGAGAATCAGCATCAATTCAAGATGATGATAGTGATTAAATTATAATTTAATGATTTGTGTTTCTGTGTGTTATTTATATTGTATATCTGAGTTATCAAGAATGAGTTTGATTTTGTTTTTCATTTTTAGTTCGTTTCCTAATTATTATTTATTATTATTATTAATATCGTTTATATTAGATGATTGTTATTTTGTTTCATATTCTTAGTTGGTTCCTTTTTTTTATATTATATTATATTATATTATATATTTTCTTTCTTTATTCAATCACGTGGATATAATTATTAATTATCCTTTTTTATATATATACAATTTCTTATCACGTATATTCTTTTTGTTTCTTATTATTTGATGAATAGATCAAGAAGAAGAATAGTTATGTATATTAGTAGTTTACTTGTATTAATTGAAAAGATATGAAATTTATGGATTCAATTTTTACTTAATTATTAGTAGAAGGTAAAGTTTCAACATAATTAGCAGTTTCTTGAGCTCTTCTTCTACCACCAACATAAGTCATCATTTCAGAATAAGTTTGAGGAATAACAGTACAATAAGAAGCTTTACCATCAACAGAAACACTTTCTTTTGGAACATAGAATGAATAAATAAAAGTACCTGCAGGTTTCTTTTCACTTTGTTCCAATTGTTGAATATAAGTATCAACTTTAACTTGAATTAAAGTACCTGGTTCAGATAAAAATGCTTCTGGATTCTTAGAAAGTTTATTAGTAGCTGGTAAACTGAAATTAAATGGAGAATCAGAATCAATTTCTTCAATACCATCATGAACATGTTCAGTATAAGAAATTGAAGAATCCATAGTTAATACACTACCAACAGGAACTGGATTTTTAAAAGTAGTTGAATCTAAACTAACAAATCTAGGACCAGCCAGGGAAAAAGTAGCAGCAGTACAATAAGCCAATTCAAAAGTTTGTCTTAATAAATAACCACCAAAAATCATATAAGAATGTCTGTTTCTATATTGTGGTTGCATAAACATTGTAGATTTCATAGTTGTATCTTTCATAAATGCAATACCATCATCTTGTCTATCAATATTTTTTAAAGATTTAGAAGATTTCCACATATCATAAATTAATTTAGATTCTTCAGCAGTTGGTTCCAAGATTTTCTTATTTTTAGCCATCAATTTCTTTTTAGCATTATGAGATTCAGCTCTTCTATAATCAATCCAATCTTTTTCTGTGACAGGTAATAATCTATTAATGGCAAAAGATTTATGAGTAAGTGGGTTACGAGCAACAAATGTGAAATTAGCAGCCAAAAATACATTTTCTGCAGGTAAAGATTCTTCATTAGTTATTTCAGGAACAGCATCTTCAAATGCATAACCTTTAACAGTAATTTCCATTGATGATCTACCAGTCCAAGTAACAGAACCAGCTAAAACAAAATTATAATTATTAATTTCATCAACTTTTTTAACCATATAAACTCTATCAACACTTGCAGTAACATTAACTGGTTCAGCAGGAGAACAATGTCTATAAGCAATTCTACCAGCTAAAGCATCTAAATCTTGAAATAATTGAGCTACTCTTAATCTACCAAAAGCATTGATATAAGCATCACATAACCATTTATCATCTTTAAAAGGTAATAATAAGAAAGAAAATGAATCACTACGAGTTTTTTCACCAACAACAGTTGTTTTAGGATCAACATAACTAAAACTATCAATAGTTTTACCTTCAGCACGTAATTTTTCACGTTCTTTTAATGCATCTATCCAAGTTACTTTATTTGGATTGATTTGCTTATCACGTAATTCAGCCAATATTGTAGCTGCTGCATCTGCTGCTTCTGCAGGGTTCATCTGATCCAGCAATATCTGGTCTATGGAAATTGACTTTCTGAGAATTGAATCTTGTTGCAAAGTGGTTATATTTTGAGGTTTGAATTTCCTAAGTGAT